AATGGATATGGACTCGGCCTCAAACAAATAGCGGGCTGCTCTTCCATACTTGCCCCTAGGGTGGAAGGCTCTTTCGTAGAAGTACTTGGGCGCCCAGACCTTGTTCCAGGGGCAAATTATTTTCGCCGGTCCATCTGTACACCTTTCAGCTTGACGGGAAAGATCGCATGATTTGGTGAATCTTGCGTTACAGTGCGCACATTCAAACAGTTTGGTAACCTTCTCGAGATCTTTTATCAAAAAGGCATGTCCGCGGTAAACTCCAGTCATCATTGGTTCGGGTTTCTCCTCTCTTCCGCAAATTCTGGGCGGAAATGTGCCCACAAAGTAAACACACACTCGTCCGACACCCCGAAGACAGCGATATCTTGCCTGAAATAACTGGCAACCAGAGGCAGATGCTCCATTTCTACCGTCTCGTTTGGAATTTCATAAATGGAAAAGAATTCTTTGGCCAATTCCCTTGTTTTAGGTAGATTGTGTTGTTTATGTGCTCCTCGGTGGACCGCCAAACAGCGGAACACAGAGGAAGTCGTCAAATGAGTTAAGAGCGTACAGCGTTTTTTGGAGCGGAGCCATTCTGGCAAACACCCCTCTCGAACCTGCAACGGTTGATCGTCCAAAATCACCTTGATTTGGAATGAAATGAATCGTTCAAACACCCACGTTGTGTCCGGGCTTCTTCCCTGGTCCATACTTCAGTGTCGTTGGTACTGCTCAGCCACTTGCTTTTTATTCCCTCTTTCAATAGGGAACCTTTTTGTTGTTTTCAGTTTTTTGAAGTTGGCAGTAGTACCAATAATTTATTCTAAGGCGATTATCCACCGTCCATCTGATTGTGTCCATAATTTTACTGGTGTGTGGTTGGTTCAGGTTTGAAAGATAATGCCACGTAATGACCTGCCGCCCTTGTTCGTTGACAACAATGTTTTGTTTGTGTTGGAGCCATTCACATACGACAAAGGGACGTCTTGCGTGGCGGGTAGGGTTTCTCGACGGTAATGGTCTGAGAAATGGTCGAAGTTTCGAAAGATTGGTACCTTTATTGATATAGGAATGGGATGAGGCCTTAGTCCTCCTGGCTGGGGCCTTGGCCTTCTTGGCCGGCACTCGGGTTCGGGGGCTATGGGCGGGGGTAACCCTTCTGGAATTCCAACGGGGAACATTTGATCTTATTCTGGTGGGAACGATTGAGTTGCCATCGCTGTAAATATATATATTTGTTAAGTGTTAGTATCTAACAGGGCGGAGAGCGAATGGGTTGCCATCGCCGTATGCAGATTCTGTGCGAATCTCTAACAGGGCGTGTTCTTTTTCTGTTGGCGATGAATCGGGCAAGAAAGGATTACCGGGCGTTGCCGTTATGGGCAGCGCAATTTTTGCCAGGGCTACAATTCTCTTACGGTGTGGCCCCCTCACGGGCTTTTAACGACTGGTGGCCGCTCTGCGACGCTCCCTGGTAACCCAGAAGTAGTAGAACCGGCGTCAGTTTCGACACCACTTTCTCTGATGGCTACTAAACCCACCTGAATCTTGTAAGGGTGGGCTTAGTAGCCATCAGAATAAAGTGGTTCGAAACTGACGCCGGTACTACTACTACTGCTGCCTTAAAAGCTGTTTATCTGTTCGAATATCTTAGAAAAACTTGGGTCGCCGCGAAAGCTTCAGTTGGCTTTTCGTTTTATCCGAGATTGTTAGTTACCCTAACTAGTTCCAGTACATGGAATAGCCGAACTTTGTAAATAAGATTCTGGATGTATTTTTTACTTTAAAGCGGAATTTTTCCTGAGACTCTTTTCGCAATAATCACAATATCTTGGTGATAAAGTATTGAAAATACAAAACCCAAAAATTGTAACTAAATTAGTAGTAAAGCTTCTAAATATGTGAGGAATAAAACCATTACCCAATTGCGCGAGTTTGATGTATCACAAATCCGACCCTGGCTTTGCGGGTTACCCCACCTTGAAACGTTTACATGGCAAAATTTGACCCCGGCTGAAATGGTAACCCGGTCTGGCAGACCGGGCGGGCGCCTTGGCGGGTCACCCCACCTATCATGCAAAGATTATATGGACTGGCGCGTTACCCCACCTAAGTGGGTTACCTCACCTACCTGGGGTCCCTCACCTCCATGTAAGCAGGCCCTAAGAGACACAAACTCATGCTTTGTCGCTCAAAAAAGAATTTCCCTGTTGACACCTTTTTGTACGAATTAGAATGTTTCCCTTTGCAGTACAATGGACATGTATTGCGACCCCAATGATGCATTAGGTCATTGGTATTCTTTATTAAGGGGCGTTCTGGATTCGCGGCTTGTCAACCTTGGTTAATATTGAAATTCAAGCAGCGATTGCCGCGCGAAACAATTTGCATAAAAAAGCGATTTTAGAAAACAGTCCTTTAAATTGGAAGGACTGTCGTTGTGCGCGTAATAGAGTGGTCCATCCTATTCGTAATGCAAAACGTTCTTTTTACCCAACTCAGTTAAAAACAGTCTTGAAAATCCTGAAAATCGCTGGTTCCGTAACCGTAGTTTTGAGCCCTAAAAAGGCTGGTTTTCACTAGCGACGGAGTTGGAGTCGTACGCGGAGTCGTAAGAGCGCTTATGACCTTGTGAAAATAAAAAATCGGAATTGTAATCACAGTCATAACAGCGACGGACTTAAAAGAATCAGGAAGTTTCTCTTTTCTTCCCACTCCGCTTACGACTCCGTCGTTTTCGATATGATAAAAACCAGATTGTTAGAGTCGGTAGCAGAAGCGGAAGAATAAACCAACCACAATGCTCATTCCCACGCTTTGTGATTGGCTTAGTTCTTTCGCTTCTGCTTGTGACTCCGACAACCTAATTTTCACTTGATTAAGAATCTTAATCAGAATAAGAACGCTGTTTTTACTAGATCGTTAAGTTCTGCACTTCTGATTACGACTCCGACCTCGACTCCGTCGCTGGTGAGAACCAGCCTTAAATTATCAAATTACCAAACCACTTTAAGTGGCTCGACTTGATTTTTAGGGAGTATAGCTTCCAAGTTTGAGCATTTACTTCGTCGACGTAAACCAAGATATCGGAAAAAAGATACCATAGCTGTATTATAATATAAATTTGTTATGATCCATGTTTTATTGGTATCGCAGTTACCATGGCAACGTAATGACGCCAATACGGTACCAGGTGTTTTTTTGGTACTCGCTTAAGGGAGCTTGTACCTCCCTTCGCTGCCTCGATTATGGCAAATTTTTAACAATTTCTATGAGAGCGTTTTGAAAATATTTTGCAACGAAGTTTTAAGGGTCATAAAAATGGTAAGCAAGCATGCAATCGACATAATTGGCTAATTGGTGGTTTTCACGGTCACGCCATCGAAAACTAAAATCAAAACCGTGGAATGTCTGAAGCCAAGAATTTCAGATATTATAGAATATCGTTAAGTTAACAACCTGGCCAAGTCTCACGTCTGTGCAGTTTTCCGCTGCTGAGTTGTTCTTCAAAATGTGTAACAGAAATTTATAGGGCTCCATATGGTGGCCAATATTTGTGCTCCTCCGAGGAGCACAAATATGTCGACCGGAAATAACGCAAACATCTGGTTTCAGTATCGCCACAAGTTTGATCAGTTGTTCACTGCGAGCGAGCAAATTATTCCCCTTAACACATCTTCGGATACTTTCACCATTCAAAGGGCATGTTACCATTCGAAGGGGTTTTCACTGTGACGGCCTTCTCGGTCGCCATATTAATGTCACTAGGAGTAAACTTGGGAAATTAGAAAGAGCTATATTTTCAAAACGTTTATAGCCTCACCATCGAAGTTTTCACTGAAGTATTCACTTGTCTTGAGAGTCTCGCTGCCAAATACCTTAAAATCTGAGAGCCAAGAATAATATCGCCTTAAATTGAGTCCACCGTTCTACATTACAATGACAAAAAAAAATGAGGTAGAATAATAATTTTTGATAATAGTATAAAAGCTTTCCCATTCAAAAGTAGGCATAAGCTCTTTAACGAAATATGAAAAACTAACAAAAGGTAGACCTGTTTTTTTTTTTAAAAAGGGGGGGGGACTTTATAGATTATATCTCGTATTTTTTATTAACTAATCGCTCTTCATTATTCACGTTGCATCTGAATTGTAAATATCATCCCTGGGGATTAATTAATGATATGCAAATGAGTATATATAATAGAAAACACTAGCATGCATTGTCCAATTCACTTCACTTTGTCCTACACGAAGGTGATTGGCGACCCACCCGCCCTCCCCAGCGAGTAAGTCGGGTTCCAGATTACCTATTCATGTATTCAATTCAGTCTGTCTTGGGCTTGTCCCAGGTCAGATTACCTTATTATAATACCATGAATAACAATACCCAGGGATGAATATTTTACTGTTCACTGTTTGCGAAAACCTGAGAGGGCAATTGACAACCTGTATTTAATTCTAAAAAGCCAGAAAGAGGAGTTTTGGGTTGAAAACAACTGTTATTTTAATAACTTTTGTCTTCTTTGAATTATCGCTGTATTTGTTCTCTGGGAATGCTCAAAATGTATGCATTGACCTGATTGACAAATATTGGTATCGTTAAATAGCCTCTCGACCGCCTGCAGTATTGCATTGCGGTTTGCCTACTTAAAATAACATGTAAGAAACCAAAAGATAAGAAATGCTTATTTAGATCGAGTTAACCCATTCAACAGAGTGTTTTCACTCACGTGGCCAGCATCTATGCAAATTTATTGGAACAAAAGAAAGCGTTTGCATAAGAAAGGTGTTCAACTCCCACAGGATTGGTTTGGGACACCAACATGGCCGCCGTTTCATTGTTTTGGGACACCAATATGGCCGCCGTGACGTCATGTGAAAACACTCTATAATATCCCACTGTGTAGTACGCGTTTATTTCCCTCTTCCCTTCCACTTCAAACCCCAATCAAGCGGGCTAATTTAGTGACCAAACTAACTGTATTGCACCCGAAAAAATATTTACAGTCTCTTTTAAATGCTTCCTATATCTTTGTATAATTTAACCCTGTCCGGCAGTTTTTCGCCAAACAACAGCGGATCAGCTCGGAACTCCACAGTCTTAAGTGGCATATGACCATAAGCTCGGACAAATTCATTCAGACATTCAGATCGTTCTACAAAATGACTTGGATCTGCCCACAAAGATTCGGTCACACACTCCGGACAGCGAAAGCGTTTTCTAGGGGTAACCTGTGGATGTAAGCAACGCAAAATATGCATAAAAAATCAACTTACACTTAACTCTTCCCTAACCTAACTGGGAATAACCTATTACTTGCAATATGAATCACCCAGAAAAAAGGAAGGAATAGTAGTAGATATAGGCTGGCATTAATGGTGCAGTTCAAGACGCGACTTAGAGTCATGACAAGCAAAAAATAACGGTCTTGTTTGACATTAAGATAGTCGTCACTTGCCTGTCCTTTGCAATGTATATTGGTTTATGTGGTGGCATTAACGACTTGAATTTGTTAACGCGATATACGCTGAAATTTCAGTGCGTGGTTGGCCCCATCATCGCCGGGAAAAATAAGATAGCCGCCATATAAAACAGGTGTGTGAAGAGAAGACCCGTGGGCTATTTTTCTTTCCTTCTATAAAGTGCAAAAAATTTCTAAGAGATTTCAGGTCCTTGGACGCTTCAGTAACGCATTTAAGGTAATTCAAATGAACGATAATCCCTTTTTCAAGTAACGCTATCTTGTTGTTGCTATGGTAGTTTCAAGTCACCATTAGCAATTTCCACGAATAGGAGGTTCAGTACATTTCGTCAAAGTCTCCCTGGTCACTTCCGCTATTCATTACCTTAATTGGTGCCTTTCCAGTGTAATTAGTGACCATGAAATTCATAGCAATGTCTTCGCAGTTCATGTGTTTATCAACCCAGTCCCTGATGTATGAAGGCATCATGTACGTGAACAGGTGACTGAAATACTATAAGAAAAACAACGGTAGTAACCTTTAATTATTGTGATTGCATGGAATAAATGGGATAGATCATGATATATGTGAACTGTGAGTGAAGTAGAAGAAAGTCATGAATGTTATCCTCGCGGTAAAATGAACAGCCTAGTTATTAAAGGTATTAAAAAAATCCAGCTGGCTTTCAAGGCCGTAATTATGCGCGATTCAACCAGTTAATGAACTGACTTATATATCCAGACTGACTGATTGTTCTTTGCGGTGTACGGACGCCGCAACGCCGCGAGGCACTATCCAGTTAAGAAGCTAATCAAAGTAATAGTAGAATAGAGGCAGGCTAATTATGGCGAAATTCGTAACGAACGCGCTGGTGAAGATGGATGACTAATTTGAGAATCTACACAAAACATACCCTCATCAAACTATTTTGACTGAGTTGTTATTGGACTTAATATATTCACTTACGTTGTTAAAGCAAGACCTTTCAATTCAAACAAAATTGGTATTTATCTGCCCGCTAAAAAATCCGATACGTCTCGTTGTTTCCTCTTGTGATAAGCAAGTGTAACAAGATTTCAGAAACAAGACAACATAACGAATTAAGAATCCCATAGCACTTTTGATACCTTATGATGAAAAGCGCATCCCGTCAGTACCATGGATACGTTGTTAGTCCACTCTGATTCGTACTTAAACTGGGAACTGCTGTTCTGATTAGTGTGAACACGACCAGGAAATCCCACCAGACGATCTGGGAACTCACGCCACGCCTTAAGATGAAAAAAAAAAAAAAAAACAGGCACGATTACTTCTCTTTTCAGTATTAAGTGTCCGGACACGGCAGAGAAAACTCCGCAATGATGTTATCGGATACCGGAAAAAACTTGAGTATGATAGATTGTTGAAATTTGGATGACGTTTATATATTCCTACTAAAAGACTAGAACCTTTTTCATGTTACCCGCTTACTTGTTTATGAAAAACACTCTTGGCGACTCACCATGCACACTAAAGTAGCAGCAAAGTAATGCGTGTGTTCCAGGCGGAACTGATCACCTATCACAAGTTATAGATTGATTCGAATTAATGTGTGGTTTGAGGACAGGTCTACCGTACGGTGTACGCATACCTGGAAACCAAATTCCAGTTCATCTGGTGTTAGCATCAGAATGTCATCATCGATGGCAAGAATCGCTTCAGTTTCTACTTCATTGTAAGGGTAAAACCTGACAGAGATAAAGAATGTTAACAAAGATGACAAAAGATCAAAAATAAAAGCGAGCGCATGTTAAATTATATGTTGTCATCATTTGGAAGGCATGAAAGCGGTTACCTGTTACTCAACTTGTTTTCCTTAGTTCTGACCACTTTCACAGGTTTTGTCAGTTGAGGCCACTTAGCGGCTACAAAGAGAATATCAGGATGAGTACACAATGTAGTCAAATCTGCGTTTATCCTCGCTGTTTTAACTTTTCAAGGTTTTTTTCTAAATTGTACTAAAAGAGGGTAACACAATACTCCTTGACGAACGACAAGAGAACAAATCATTATAAGATGTTTAATCTATTATTCCCCGTTCATCAGTTTTATCCGTACTGACCAAGTCCGAGAACGGTATAACTGCTGAAAATTCTGGAAGTAACTCCGAGTAGGTTATTGGTGTACAAGGCGAACAACGATGGGCCCAGTACTGACCCTTGGGGAATCCCGCAAGTAACGTTAAGCACGGTTGAGTGCTGACCATTTAGTACCGAGAAGTGAGTTCGATCGGTTAGGTAGTCTGTCAGCCATGATAGAAGAGAACCTTGAACTCCAAAATAAGAATTCAACTTATGTAGTAGGACAGCATGAGATACACAGTCAAAAGCTTTTCCGAACAACAACGTGAGTCTACGCAACAGGACGACAGCAAGAAGAGGACGGCAAAACACTTGTGTGTGACAAACGTAACAAGGCTATTACTTGCGTATTTTGTCATGATTGTCACTGTTTTCTGGTCCTTTACAAAAAGATCTGTTTAAATGAAAGTGAAGTTTGGCGAAAAGTTGTTTCAAACAATTATTGTCACGCTTGTAACACAAGGTTTGCCGTCTTCTTTCCTCTCCGGTCCTGTTGCGTAAGTTCACTAATATCCCGCTCGGACGAAACAACAATAACAAAAAAACTTGCGGGGAAAAGGAGGGCGGAAAGGTAACAACAACAAGAAATAATTATGGCTAACATTCCTCAAATAACTATATATTTGAATTCATGGTAAATACAGCTCTACTAGTTTCAAACAGCGTCTAATGGCAGAATTTCACGCAAATAATAGTTTAAATATAATAATTTCCCCGATTAACCGGTTATCCTTGGCAGCGTGGAACAAAGGTCTGGGAGCCGGCCTTCCGCGCGGATGGTCCATGACTCCAGGTTCGACTCTCGACTAAGCTGTTTTTTTTCTTTGTTGTATATATATATTTTCGTTTTGTTTTTGTGTTTGTTTTTAATCACATTTTTCCCCTTGGCCTTTCCCCCTCTATTTATACTGCTGGCCCATTACAGCCTCGCGAGGATTTTAAGCGCGATAAACGTATTTCTAGTAATGTTTATATAACATTGGCTTATTCTTTCACTGCGCATGCACTGCCTATCGAGATATGAAAAACTTGGAAAGTTCAGAGAAAAAATTCTACCACAGCCTCCAATATCGAATTATGCAAAACCAAAAGTAAACTTAGCAGACATTTTTCAAAAACGTACGCTTATATTAGTATAGGTAATAGCATGATTTATAGCGATATTTGGCATAAATACCTCGAGCGATAATTCAAAATCGTTTTACTTAATTTCACGAGCCGTTAGGCGAGTAAAATTTGAGACAATTTTGAAATGTCACAAGTGCTATTTATGCCAAATATCAAGTACAAATCATGCAATTATTTGTTTATACTACTGCCCGCAAAAGGTTTGTAATTTTCACATGTGGGTATTTCAAATTAAGCTTAAATACCACTGTTCTAAGCCAATCAAATTGCAGCAATTCTTAATATATTAGTATAATCAAATAAAGAAAGACTTATGTTGAGGATCATTTTAATTCCCCACGTATAGTTAGGTGAAGCGCATATTTCTGTGATTGACAGTTTAACATAAGAGTCACCAGATGTGAAAAACATTTTTTGGGGGTTGTTGGAAAAATAAAGTCGTGGTGATTTCCCTTTACATTTGTTGAATAGATTTTTTACGGATAACGAGTGGAACCAAAGGAAATACATTAATTTGGTCCTTCGAGCCGAATCTTGAAACAGAAAGTGGAATAGAATCTGGAATTTTGGAGGAAAAACGAGTTACAAGTCATCTTTGGATCAGGTTTGTGGCGCGTTGGGAAGCGTTTGTTGTTTATTGTTCTTTTTTGATAAAGTGACAAGAATTTATGTGAGGAAATGTTTGTGAATTTTGAGTGGAAAGCCAGTGTAAACATGTTAGACAAAGAAGAAGATTCAGTTGGGGACTCTTTAATGTAAGTGGAAAATTTGAAAGCTGGAAAACAAGACAGCTGAATGAATTAGTCGGCTGCGCCACCGTTGCTGGCGTTGAGATATAAAGTCGAGAGGAAATGGAATAAACGAGGGCCTTCCAGGGGTTTTAGGGAACAAGGGATATCTTAAAATAACTTTTAGGGAACAAGGCAACTGTTGGGTTATAATGGGGAACAAGGGAACATTGATTTCCTAAAAAGTTACAAGTAATAAGAAGTACGAAAGAATATCCAAAATGTATAAAAAGCAAACACACAAAAAACCATTTAAACTGAGTACAATAAAAGTTACAAGCAAAAATCGTCCAGGGCTTTCCTAAATAAAACTTTAGAATTAATGTTTCTTAAACTTAATGGCAGTGAATTAAATATCGAGGCACCTAAAAAATAAAAACTACGGCGCGCAAAATCCAGTCTCACCTTCGGCAGTTTTGCTGCTTTCCCATTGTTTCTAGTGTTTAAAGCATTCTGGTGAAATCGTTGAAAAAAATTGCTAAACGGGAAACATGCAGCCCATTCTTAGAAGGCAGCCAAATACAAGACGGTACTCTTTCCTTTGCAAAAAATTATTAAATTATTAAAAATCGAAGATCGCAGTTTTTCTGACTGGGAAAATGATTTCGAGGCTTCGTTTCTTAATGGAGCGGATCATGCGTTTGCGGGACTCTGATTATCCAGGACTATTATAGCCGCAATACGTAAATATTGACAATCATCGATTGATGAGTTCGTTGGAGATTGACAGTATCAATGCTGGAACGGATGTGCTGTAAGAGGTTCACTCTTCCTGTTACCTTCTTGGAAATTTGTGAAAATGTGTTTCAAAATTAATGTGTAAGAGGAAAAAGGACCTTCATTTTTCGAGCCCTGGGGACAAATCATATATTGTGTTTTTCGCAGAAGAACTGGGGAAAATATGCCGATAAATAAGCGAGGGGCATCACACGACTCCTGCTCTTACTAGTATTGAAAGTTGTATGAGCGTCAGAGCATCGTTCTATAAGCTCACTAATAGGTCCTTAAGAGATTTTCCTTTGTAATAAGGGAGGGGAGGCTTCTTAAAGTTTTCTCTTATTCGTTACTTGTTTTGTATAAGGTGCCATTTCGATTCTTCATCAGTATTCTCGTCAGGCTAGGTAAAGCCGGGTGGTACCGTGTAACAAAAGGTAGAAGTTTTTTTTTTGCAGACATGCAAGTTAATTCTAACACCAGCTTGTTTAACAAACATGGTAAAAGTGGGGTAGGAAACCTAGAAAGAACTCGTATTCCAACACTTAGTGGGAACAAAACCGAATTTCAGCACTGGAAAGCAACATTCACGAGTTGTGTGGATGTATTCTGCTCAGTTCAAAATGTTGACATTTGTGAAGATTGGAGGCAATATTGTTTGTCAGACGAAGCCTTAGAAACGATTAAAGGTTTAAGATATTCCGAGGCTGCTTACGAAGCGGCAAAAGCGAGATTAGTGAGGAAATACGGAGGAAATAGACGGAAAATCCAGTGCCATGTAAAAGAGTTGCTTAAAATGGAACCTCTTAGACGGAGAACAAAATGCCCAAAGAATTGCAAAAATTTGCAGACATGCTGGAGCAGGCTGTAATCAATTTGCAGAAAAACAATAGAGAGGCGGAATTAGAAGCAGAAACACTTTACACCTTTAGTCTAAAACTACTAGCCGCTCACTAGCTCAATATTCTCGATGGGTTAAGGATAAAATGAGAAGGTTGAGTCTCTAATTATACTCAAAGATTGGACCGCCCAAAAGGCTGAATATCAGATGAAAGCCACAGAACTTAATCATGGTTTGAAGTCAAGAAAACCCCCTTGGAAGTCAGGCGAGAGAAGGAGTAGATCCTATGGAACTAACCAAGTTGATGGTAAGAAGAAAGGTGCGTGTAAGGTGTGTGGTGAAAGTCATGCCATCTGGAATTGCGATGTTTTTAAGAAAAGAAGTATTCAGGAGAAATGGGGGTACTGCAAAGAAGCTAGGACTGTTACAGGTGTTTGGGTCATGATCATCTTGGCGAGGAGTGTCCCAGCAGTAGAGCGCGTAACATCAACTGTGCGCGACTTTATCCTTTACATAGGGTGGACTGCAGTGGGCAGGATAAAGAAAGGAAAGAACCGGAGAAATGCAACAATAGCGGAAAAGCAGGATGATTTGAATACAACCTTAAAGCGATTCTGGGATCTCGAGACTATGGGTATTATGCCTTCTAGACCGGTCATGACCCCTGATGAATCGGTTGCTTGACGCAAAGTGAGCGAGTCCACGAAGTTCGAGAATGATCATTGTGTGCTAGCTGTTCCATGGTGGGATGACCGGCCCAGTCTTCAAAACAACAGGCCGTTAGCTGAGAAACGCCTAAAATCAACCGAGCGAAAACTGGTAAAGGACCCAGCTAAAGCTGAGGTTTATCAGAAGGGTATCGAAGCATATCTAGAGAAGAAGGACATTCGTCCAACCAACACCCACCTTGATTCCCTAATTTCCCGTTGTACGACCTGACAGGTCTACGACGAAGACAAGGATTGTCTGTGATGCTTCCGCTGAATTTCAGAGAAAAATTTAAAACAGCGAGGCCTTGCCTGGACCAAAACTGCAGACAGACATGTTAAGTATCCTCGTTAGATTTCGAAAGGAACTGGTCGCCCTTGTAGGCGACGTAAGTCAAATGTACCTTGAGCTTGCTTTAACCACGGAAGACAGACCACTGCTCAGATTTCTGCGGAGAGATGTACATCAGAGAAAAAGGAGCCAGAAGTTTACGAATTCTTAAGATATGTGTTTGGGGGTTGTTACTGTACCTTCTGAGCACAGTGTATAAGGCAGAAGCATGCAGATGACCACAAAGAAGAGTACCCTCTCCCAGCGGAGGTAGTAAAGAATAGTTGTTATATGGATATGCCTTCAGTTGAATCGGTTGAAATGGCAAAGGAGGTGCGAAACCAGTTAACCGAACTTGAAAATAAAGCTGGTTTTCACATTTGCAAATGGGTATCTCAGAAACCTGAAGTTATCGAGGACATACCAGCAACCGATCGAGCAGCAGAAGTTGATCTGTAGAAGAAAGAGTTTGGGGGTAGTGTGGATTGTTCAAGAAGACAAGTTTTCGTTTTGTTTCAGCCCACCACCAGAGAAATTCCCATTGACAAAACGGAACGTGCTGAAGAAAACTGCCACTATTTATGATCCGTTTGGATTCCTGACGCCTTACATGGTACCGGCAAAAATGCTGATGCAAGAAGGTTGGATGGAAGCTCTAAGATGGGATGAAGAGTTGCCGCACCAACTTAAAGCGGACTGGAAGAAATGGTTTGAGGAACTTGGATAACTTGATGCAATTCGTGTCCCACGGTGTTTGAATGAAGGCAAGAATGGTTGCAATGTTATCATACACACCTTTAGTGACGCTTCTGAGAAAGCCTACACTGTCGTAACATATGCACGACAGCAATATGAAGAACGAACTGTAAGCACACATTTAGTTGCAGCAAAGTCAAGGTTGGCACCACTAAAGGCCATGAGTATTCCACGGTTAGAATTAATGGCAACATTGACAGGTCTCAGATTAACACTACAGATAAGCAGAGCACTCGGTATTCCCATGAGTAAAGCCACGTTTTGGGTGGACAGCGCAAATGTCGGCTTTTGGATTCAGGGACAGAGCCGAAACTACAAAACCGTTTGTATCCCGTCGGGTGGGAGACGTTGACGACGATTCAAGTCCAGATCAGTTGAGGTACTTTCCAACTAAACTTAATCCTGCTGATTAAGGAACCAGGGGAGTCTTAGTTCAGGAGTTAATAAAGGACGACTGCTGTTGGCATGGACCCTAGTTTCTACAGAAAGGTGAAGAAAAGTGGCAGAAAGGAAGTTGGGAAAAGCCTAAGAAGCTTACAAGGAGGTTAAATCAGAGAAAAAAGGGACGAAATGTGGAGGAGGAGAATCGTAACAAGAATGCACACAGTTACTACTCAGATACTTCTTGGAGTGAATCGAAGAGTCAACCAGATCCAAACAAGTTTTCAAAGTGGTACAGGATCCAGTCAAAAGGAAGGCTTGAGATTGGCATCTCGTTGGTGCAGGTGACCGGCTGGATTAACCGGTTTATTACACATATCAGAAAACGTACAAAAGATAGAGTAAGTGGCGATTTGACTTCAGGGGAACTTAAACTAGCAGAAGAACAAATCAAGACGGCACAACTAGAGTGTTCAACCCACCAGGGGCACCGAACTTTGCTGGGGTTTTCGAAAGCATGATAAAGTCAGTCAAGAGAGCAATTTACGCAGTTTTAGGCCAAACCAACGTTAACGACGAGGAGTTACAAACAGTGTTTACAGGAGTCGGGAGTTTGTTGAATTCCAGACCCTCAACGACAGTCAGTGTCAATGATGAACTAGTGTTGACCCCGAACCATTTCTTAATTGGACAAAATGGCTGGTGAGCTAGCTCCAGAGACAGTTGACACAACAGCAACCGCTGTTCGCAAACGATGGAGAAGAGGGGAGGAGTTGATTCGCAAGCTATGGAATAGATGGAATCGGCGGATGCGGGAATATTTGCCTACACTTGGATCCCGTCACAAATAGTTTCTACCAACCAAGAATCTCAAAGTGGGAGATGTTGTCTTGTTGATAGAGCCATACGCACCAAGGCGAAAATGGAAGATCGGACGGATCGAGGCAGCGTATCTAGGACAGCATGGACAAGTCAGAGTGGTAGACGTGAGAACCGGGGCAAGTGTGAAGCGCAGACCAATTACGACACTCTCACCGTTGGATGCTGAAGTACTCTAAATGAGCACACTGGAGACGCTAGTCATTTATGCTTTCTCATAGACTTTGACCAGTTTTTGAAAACAATTGAATTGTTTTCTTTCATTTTGTTTCTAGTACTTTCATCGAACTAGCATCGGATTTCAATGAACTGGAAATCCAGAAGGGGGAATATTTCAGGATTATTTTTATTTCCCATATATAGTTAAGTGACAGGCGTATTTCTCTGATTGACAGTTTACATAAGAGACATGTCTGTATACTGCAGTCCACGTTGAGTGTTGTTTATTTCATTGTACCTTTGCCTGCCAATATAGCCGTCTGTCTCTCTTCGCTTCTCTTCTTATCTAGGCCACTGTAAATAAAATCCTTGAATTTAATAACAGTCTTTTTTACTGTGTTGTTCAATTCAGTTTCCAACGACGTTCATGTTCCGCCGTGATTCCTTTTGTTGACACTGCATCTAAAAGGGCTTTCTCTGATTCACGTACACTATTATGAAATCCGTTCTCAACATCAATTGCGCTTTAAGAGCCATTTTCTGAGAAAATCGAGAATCGCAAGACACTCGTCAAAAAATCGAATTTTTTTTTATTTTGCCAAAACATCCCTTTTAGTGACCTAATTTAAGGAAAAATAGTTTTGGGTTCAAACGATTCATTTTAAAGGAGAAATTAAAAAAAAGTTTGAAAAATCGATTTTATTCCTGTTTTTTGAACAAAACACGGCAGGATGCAATGGCAACTTCGAGAGAAGGGTGAACGCGTAAGAAACATTCCCTGACACTGAAACTTCACCGAATTATTATTTTGTTCTTACTCTTGAAAACCTTAAAAGAAAATTTGAAAAACAATGTCTTATATTTTTATAATCGACAAGTGTAAAGAGGTCATATTTGTGACGTTAGACGTGCTACAAAATGAAGGCCAACTTTGACTATTAAAAAAGGCCTCTGGTATATGCCGCTTGATCATAAAATCAATATAAAATGGAACCTTGGCTTTTGTACTAACTTACTTGAAAGTTTTAGCTCTGGAAATCAAATACCATCCTGACACCAAAGCAAGCGGTGAGAGCAATTGAATTGGGAAATTTATGCAAATTAGACGGCTTGCGGACGGTTGTCAAACTAAAAGAAAGGTTTTACATGAAAGGATTACTCACCATTGCTTGTAACACGTTTTTACGGCAAGGAAAGTTATTTCCAACTTCTGTTGCGTCGGTTTGAGTCACAAAATCCATAATTTTAAGCCAAAAGGTCCAAAGACAAACGTACGTTTGCTCAGCGACAGCGCCAGAATCCGGCCGTGAATCGAAATGAAGTCACAACACGTCACTGCGGTCCTTTAGAAGCAAGAGTTGCAAGAGTTTTTACTTCAGTCAGGAGGCCAAAAGATTGAAAATTCATCGCAAACTAATGACTTCGATTTTGAAAACCTTTCATCACTTCGATCGTTTGCCGGCTGATAATAAACATCGCACAAGATCGTATGACCTTTGGCGTGTGACCGGAAATCGGTCACACGCTTAAGTCACGTTAGCATACTGTCACGAATTTTAATAGGATTTTTCACGTTTGCTTTCGACAAAAAATAGACTCATCGCAATAAAATCAGGCCTGCTTTATTTATTTATTTTTTAATTTCTTTTATAGCCTGCAGAACTTGTTCCCCATGCATCGCGCGTGTCTCGCGCCCCCAGTCCGCTTCACAGTGCTAGCGTGAAAAGCGCAAAAAACTGAAATTGACTCCTGTTCTGCAATTGATTTCTTTTATAGACACCTTATAGGCATTGACAGGCTGTGAAAAAAGTGTATTTTTTATTATTATTATTTTTTGAAGTGCTACGTCCTTTTCCTATAAATTTCAAACGTGACTGCTAAAAGACTGTTTGGAACCCATGGATGGAGAAAAGCTGTTCCGGAGAGAAGGTCAACCTTCCCGCCGAGCCAACTTTTGCGAGCGTTTATATGAGGAAAAAACTGACCACTTTGTCCGAGTCAACAGTGCTTGCGCATGCTGTCTTTGTCTAGCCTTGACCGTGTTGTCCCAGCTAGCTGGGCGAGCCAAAGTGGAGAAATATTAGCCGGGCTAGAAGGGTGAGGCCACCACTACCGGCTCAGTGGAGGGCTGACTTCCGGAAGCCCTCAACCCCCGCCCACTACTGGTAGTAAGGCGTCTATCCGAACCAAGCTTTTGTTCTCATGTAAATGGCTTAGCAAGTTTTGTAAGGAAAAGGAGGAAAAGTTGGCTCGCCCAGGGTAGCTTGGGAGGTGAGTAAATACCAGATAACCCCAATAATAAGCACAAACTTTGATTGTCAGTTAGATGTCTACTATTTTAAGTAAGTCACCTTGCATGTGATTGTCGCATCCATGCCCCCTTATAGATCCCCTTTATTATCGGTAAGCCTCCGATAGGTCAAAGTAATACAGTCGTACCTCCAGTAAGCGACCACCAAAAATGCAAAGACTTAGTGGTCCCTAACGGGAGGTGGTCGTTTAGAAGAATCGGACCACATGGGGTCTATTCCGAGAAGAGGTCCAGGCACATTCTATTAAATGGCGGTGTTACAAATTCCTGGCAAAATATTATCTTTTACCTCTTTTGACAAATACAGCTTTTAAATCATGCTCAATTTAAAGAGAGATTCAGGTGAGTGAGATATAGAATAGTCTAGAATCACAACAGTATCTTCACTTTGTTGGCTACATCTACTAAGTTAGGATATGTGTAGTTCCACGATGTCACTAAAGGTCTTCATATTTTCTAAGGAACATAGTGCACACAGCAAAAATAGAGAGCAGAGAATGCGTCAGCTGGTCGCTCATGGAAAACAATTAACCGTGACGCCCAAAAAGTGGTCGCAGTCACTTACAGAAGGTGGTCGTTTACTGGAGGTTCCAACTGTAAGGCTTTGACTGGGAAAATTTGGTCTTTTGGATTGGCGGTCGCACATGGAGGTTCGACTGTGTTAGGTCTATTAGAGTATAAGCCACCATCACCTCACTGTGAGTGACGAGAGCCAGGAAAGTATAGTATACACTCCCTTAGGATACACAGAATCGTTGTTTTGAGGTCCCGTTTAGCGAAATGGATCATTCAAGGGAGGTGCTGAAGTCCCATAGTGAAATTTATAAGGTTTATGGGTTTTTAGTGCAAGACGAAACACAATACTTAGGGCCCTGTTGTTCAAACGTTGAACAACAGGAAATCACTATCAAGCGAATAAGAAGAAGCAATTGCGTTACTTATTGGATATAGATTTATCCAGGGGAAAGCGTTAGTCCCGGGGGCGTTAGTCAACTTTTCGAACATACAGCCCCTCAGTCACTCTCCTCCGCAGACTTACCCTGGGCGACCAGGATAGGGGAATATAATACTCGACCTTCCTTGCATCATCGCGAGAGCCTATAGCCTTCACTTTCTTTTGGCTCGTCCTACAAACCTACCCAACGTTCGTGGGACAGGAAGGTCTGCTTGCGAGGCTTGGGAATCTAGGGAGACTATGGTAGCATGGTGCAAATAGCCGGGGTGAGCTACTTTGTCCACACGAACCGAGAGGATTGGGTCTGCTAGAAGAAATCAGGTGTAGCTTTCTGTGATAAGTAATATTCCAACAGTATAGGATCATAGTTTGAAGCCATTTCACAATCACTAGTTTCCGCGCACCTCTACCGGCGAGTTGTGGACAAAAGCAGCTGATAGCTGTATGCGAACCTTTTTTCCACAAAATGGTTTCTGGGTTTTCGTATTCGACAGTGTCATGTATTGATTTTTTTTAATCTTAGTCGAGGTCTTTTTAATTATGTACTGTCTATCTGACTGACTGTTTCTTTGTGTTTTTTTTTCTGGTAATAACAGCTTTCATAATTTAGTCCTGATTGGGGTTATAGGCCCCTGATCGTGAGCAAATAGCGAAAAAATCAACAAGCAAAACCAAAGTGAACTATAGCGTTGAGTCCGTTGGCCACGGAGAATTGCAGTATTATTCTGCAAGTTCTTTACTACAGCAAGAGAGTATACTCCCTTGACTATGGGACATTGGGCCGGGGGAACTTAGTATTTTGACCCGGCATAGGGGAGGAGGAGAGGGGGAGGGGGAGGGGGTACTCTGGCCAGATTCCAAGTCACGGGGATGATCGAAGTATGTTTTTTTCTTGGTTTGAAAATATTTTGAACAAATTTTTTTTTTTTAGCTGTGGCTTTACTTAAGTATTCAAAATATTCGTTCTTTTTTGGTCTTAATTTTCGCTTCCACGGATCACTCACGACACTTGGAATCCGAGGTACCCCTCCTGTTTAGTACTTCGAAGGCAAAAAAGCTGTTTCAAAGCCTAGTAGGTAAATAAAAGAAAAATAAATATGCATGGATGTTTCTACTGCGATGAGAGGATTTCTTGTCAAAAAATGTGAAAACTGTATTAAAATTGCTGACAACAGCTACGAAAATTTCGTGACAGCATGCTGACGTGACTAAAGCGTGTGACCAATTTCCGGTCACACCAAAGGTCATACGATCTTATGCGATGTTTATTATCAGCCGACGAACGATTGAAGTGATGAAAGGTTTTTAAAATCGAAGTCATTAGTTTGCGATGAATTTTTATTCCTTTTGCCTCCTGACTGAAGTAAAAACTCTTGTAACTCTTGCTTCGACGTGTTGTGACTTAATTTCGATTCACGGCCAGATTCGGACGCAGTTGCTGAGCAAACGTACGTTTGTCTTTTGGCTAAAAATTATATATTTTGTGACTCAAAACTACGCAACAGAAGTTGGAAATAACTTTCCTTGCCGTGAAAACGTGTTACAAGCAATGGTGAGTAATCCTTTCATGTAAAACCTTTCTTTTAGTTTGACAACCGTCTGCAAGCCGTCTAATTTGCATAAATTTCCCAATTCAATTGCTCTCACCGCTTGCTTTGGTGTCAGGATGATCAAGCGGCATATACCAGAGGCCTTTTTTAATAGTCAAAGTTGGCCTTCATTTTGTAGCACGTCTAACGTCACAAATATGACCTCTTTACACTTGTCGATTATAAAAATATAAGACATTGTTTTTCAAATTTTCTTTTAAGGTTTTCAAGAGTAAGAACAAAATAATAATTCGGTGAAGTTTCAATGTCAGGGAATGTTTCTTACGCGTTCACCCTTCTCTCGAAGTTGCCATTGCATCCTGCCGTGTTTTGTGCGAAAAACGAGCATAAAATCGATTTTTCAAACTTTTCCTAATTTCTCCTTTAAAATGAATCGTTTGAACCCAAAACTATTTTTCCTGAAATAAGGTCACTAAAAGGGATGTTTTGGCAAAATAAAAAAAAATTCGATTTTTTGACGAGTGTCGTGCGATTCTCGATTTTCTCAGATAATGGCTCTTAAGGTAAACGAACATGTTCGCCCGCACTACCTCGCCCTTGGTTACTACTAGTATTACCATAAAAACTAGTATTGCCGTTAGAATGAATATTTACGGATTCAAGTAATACTTGTTTGACGATAGAGTCCTCATCATTCTTAAAAAATTACATAATGTAGTATAAGTTTTTCATTCATATCAATTATTAATGAAAATACCTAAATCACCTCTACATGCAGCGTTAGAAGCCTTATTACTTAATTCCAAGTATCGCTTCCGGAAGTGTAAATTGAATTTTTCAATTGGCGAGCTATCCCACGTTCTAAAATCTTGTTTCTGGTAAACTCCCCAAATTTCAGAGTTATAGGATAGTATAGGAGTGACCATCGTATCGAATATTTTACAAGCCAAAGAAGGTATTAATCTACTAATGTCTGTGTTTTCCCGCAAGCCGAAAAGAGCGTGAAGGGCTTCCTCTTTCAAGTGTTCGAGAGACACTAAAATTACCAGTTGAGGAGTTTCTGGTTCCTAAATATGTGTATTCGTGTACAATATCAATGGTCTGTTCTAGGTCTGAGGTTTTCTTTGCGCGTTTCTTAAAAGATCATAATTTTGGTCCTTTTTAGTATTGATATCTAACAACCAAGAACTGCTTCAAGAATGCAACGTGTCATTTTAAAGGGAACCTCCACTTCAACAAAAAGATAACTTTAAATCACAGGAAATAACTGTTACAGTCAAGTCAATCTAAAATATTTTTAAAGAAAGCGTTTGTATCTGAAAGAAATAACTTCTAGATTCGCCTATTTTTGTTTTCAAATTTTGCGGGCGTCGCCATCTTGAATAATTGTGACGTGTAATGGTTGCCCTATTGTTATTAAACAAAAGCTCTTTGTGTCAGAACAATAGAGCAACCGTAACACGTCACAATTATTCAAGATGGCGGCGCCCGCGAAATTTGAAAGTGAAAATAAGCGATTTTAAAATTCACTTTTCCTGATATAAACACTATTTTTAAGACAAATTTCGAACAAATTTGTTTATCAACATAATTTTATTCGATTTAAACTTATTCTGTAGTAAGAGTGGAGGTTCCCTTTAAACAATTGATTTTTGCAAACCCACTTTAGATCGGAATAAAATAATCAGAGGTCAACAGCGTACAAAAGAGAATTTAATGTGATACCATTTGGAAGAATGATGGGATCTGATAAGTATTTTGAAGTGCGTATGGCAAGTCATTAATGTATAAATAGAAAAGCAAGGGGCTTAAGATGCAATCCTGGCGTACTCCTCTCAAGTAATGAAAGGGTCTTGTTCTACTCCTACCAATTCTTAAGGTGCATGGGGAGTTTGAATATAAGTTTTGAATTAACTTATAGAAACATCCTCCTATACTGATTTGCAGTAATTTATGTAAGAGCCCTTCACGCCAAACGGAGTCAACGGTCTTTTTTGGATAAACAACAAAAGCGTACATTTTGTTTCGATGACAGTCGACGTACTTGTCTACAAGAGTTCGTAAGGTCAGGATGTGATCTCAGATTGGAGATTTACGAAGTGTGTTCAGAGAGACGAAATGTTCAAACAGTCTGGTTTAAAATTGAAAAGAATAGCTTTCCCAGACAATTGCGCGATAATTCGACGCGCCATTTGTTGCGTCAGACTCAAACTTAAATATTGGAGTTATATAAATACCGTTGTACGAATGTTTGGTACAGTCCCTAAACTGAGAATAGTATTCAAAACGTTTAAGGCAAACAGGCAACATCATAGGTAAGCTAGCTTTAATAATTTCGTTTGTTATTAATTTTCGTCCGAATATGTGCTTTTGTCATTCTTTAATTTTTTTGCCGCGGAGCGTATTTCAGCTTCTGTACTTGGGTAGTCTAGTGGTCGTGATTGCATAAGGGTACCCGTGTGGTGTTTCAGTCAAGATCCTGTGAAAGGAGATCATTGTCCCAACAAAATGCTCCACCCAACCCTCCATATCAACAACAGTGACTAGTCCCTAACTGACATGTACCATGTACCCGTGGCAAACCTAAGTGTTGGAAAAGAATTAATTGTGACTAGCCGACTGTATGGTCACTTCGAAATTTTAATCAATTCTACGGTCTTCTACCTTCTTGTTGAGTAAGTGTTAAAATTGCATAACCTAGCAATTTTTCCACTCGTCACAAGTAGATTTCAAAGTCTTCCTCACCCCCGCAAAAAAGAAAAGGAACGAAAAGAAAACCATCATATCAGTGAAATCAGTGGGGCAGTGAAGGTGACTGAGCTACAAAGAAAATCGCCGCAAGCTCTTCTGTGCAAGTTACTAGACAAATAACATGCGACTGCTTGCTGCTAAGATAAGCAAGTCGACTAAGGGACAGTTCACAAGGAGAAAGGGTAGCCCAGGTAGGTGAGGTAACCCACTTAGGTGGGGTAATATCTCTGATATGGTCACCCCACTTATCATGTAAACGGGATCACAGTAATATGAAAGATTATATAATAACTAAGATAGTACGCACGCTCTGATTGGCCGAGAGGAGTGTTTGCATGAGAGTATGTAAACATGGTCGAGGCGTCAAGTTGTTTGGCTTTTCCCGCGCTAATCACGCAAGCACTAATTTTAAAAGTTTTCGAGTTCAAAACTCGACAAGTTTACTTTATTTACCCATTCCTTCGCCAGCTGAAACATGTAAAATTGTTACAAAGAAGGTGAGTCAATTTTTCTTCGCTTAAGCTGACATTTTAAGCGAGAAAAATCCGTATTTTGCAAAGCATCTTTTGGCAAAACAAGAACTGATTACGCGTGCAAGACTTGGACAAAATTTTGCGACTGGTAAGAATTTCTCTTTTAATCAGTGCCATACAAAGAGTTTTGCGTTTTTTTGTCGGGAAAGTTATTTTATAAAAGCAATAGAAAACGTTTTTTCCCGCGTTTGCATAGCCTGATATAAACACTCGAGGCGTTGGGAGAATTCTCGACAGTTATGCAAACCCTCCACTTCGTCTCGGGTTTGCATAACTGTCTCGAATTCCCCCAACCCCTCTCGTGTTTACATCAGGCTATGCAAACACGGAAAACGTTTTCTACTGCTTAATTATATGGACAAGCAGGTTACCACACATAAGCGGGTTATTTCACCTACCTGGGGTCCCCCACCTCTATGTAAACAGCCCCTAGAGTGCCTTGTGTTGCGACAATCAAAAGATGGTATATCATTGCCATAATAAAAAAAGGAAATAATCGTTATGTTACCAGACGGTGGAGCTTTCTTGACGTTGTTCCACACAACAACAATCTGCAAAAGAGGTAAAGATACTTTAGTGCCATTGTGTCGTGGATTTTTTGCTTGGGAAACTGGTAGACTTAGTATTTATGTTTATATATAATTATATTAACCTTTTCTTACCCAATAGACAACAGGATATTTTGTCATTAGTTCTTCTTTACTTACAGAAAAGTAAATGACTACAACCCGCAACCCAGCGTTTGAGGGATATTAGCGGAGCTCTCGTGCGCAGCGGAGCACCATGGGTAAGAAAATGAAGTAATCAATTCAGGGTTTTCCCTTACGCGCATATACGCTTTAGAGGACGCGCTGTTTAGCCGAAAAAGAAAAACAGGACGCAAAACACCAAAGAGAACCGGTCCTCTAGGACGCACATGTTCTAGAGCGATAGTCTACTAATAATTAGTTTAGAACTGCGTAGATCTGCAAAATTCTTTTTTGAGAATGAAATATAAAGACCTTTTAATCTTCTTTTTTTGTCTGACTCCTGTTTTAAAACTAGAAAGAGCCATACTAACTTTGAAAGGTTCTCAAGCTTACTTTTTTATGTTCCGATCGGGGAACCACATTTGACACTCCTTGAAGAGGTTTGGGAACTAATGTTTTATTGTGAGGCATTCTGGGACAGAAAGTGAGTTGGAAAAACATGGCGGATTTGGAATCACAGCCCAATGAGCCCGTTGAGAAAAAGAGGCGTTTTCTGCCTGTTTGGTTGAAAGAATTTACATGGTTGCGATATCTGTAAGTCAACAGGTAAAAGAAACCCTTTCACAACCGTAAGCTATAACAATCTTCAGAAGTTGGCCCTGGAAAGGCACCAAAATTCTAAAGACCACATTTTGAGTATCACAGACCTCAAGCTTAGAAAAAGCTTTCAAGCGACAGTTCCAAATGCAAAGAAGAATATCGACAATCAAACCCTGGAAATTACAAGGAGGCACATTGTTCAGCATAAAAAAGTGTATCTTATGACTAAGAACAACATGCTGCTGATACAATTCCAGTGATGGAACTTTAGGCTGCGAACGGTTGTAGTGATGCTTCTCTTTTTAACAAGAAACCCGAAAATGTTTCAAAGATTTCCTGGAATTTGAAACAATGCTAACCTTAGGACTCCCACTGTTCCCTCTGGGACCCTCAACCTTGGGTTAAAGGAGCCTTAGGGACTACGAAAGGAAAATTTTCGAGGGAAAACCCTGTAATCTACCCATCCGAGAAAGTTTGGTAATCACGTGACCGTAGGCCCGCCCGACTGCCCGCCCGCCCGACTGCACCACAGGCAAACCAATGTAAAATAACTCAATCAACAGGTGTGGCAACCCAAATGCAACTGGAGGTTATTTTGGCAGGAAATCGCATAGCCACCGGCGTCCTGTAAAGTAGAGACATCTAAAGAGTCAATAAAGACGAAAACGGAAAGCAGAAATTGTTTCTGTATCCGCGTTGTCTTAAGTATTAAGCTTAATTGTCATGTCCACAAATTTGGAATATAAAGAAAGAGAAAGAAGGCGGCAGACCAGCGAAGCTAAACGAGAAAAAGGGCGACAGAGATATAGAGCGAGATATAAAAAAAGGAGACGTTTTTTTTTGTTGGTAGCGGCGGTGACAAAATGCGAGCGGCCAACAATCAAATACAAGGTGAAAATGAGCGGCGGTGAAAAAAAGTGAACGAGAACACGTACGACATTTACTCCATTAAAAGTGTAACTAAGAAGTTTCTGGAAGTTTGACGCTGTAGTCGTGGAAAACAACGACAAAGAAATGTACAAAACAGTGTACTGCACGTGCACTTTGGTTTTTTTGCTAATTAGACGTATTGTTGTTTTTCACCGTTCTCCGGCGTTGCCTTCGCCGCTTAGCAATAAACGATTTACTTTGTTTGAACGAACTATAAATATTATCTACTGCCTTATTATAGGAAATTAACGCTCCATGAAATTAATAATAATAATAATCTTTATTTCTTAAGATAAAATTACATATCCGAACTGTATTCGTGACGTTCGCTCATGGATGAGAGATGATAAGTTAATGCTAAATGACGATAAAACTGAGTTCTTGATCATTGGCACGGAACGACAGTTATCAAAGGTGTCCGTTGATAAGATCAAGATCGGCCAAGCTGAGGTATCGCCTGCCTCTTCAGTGCGCAATTTGGGCACCTGGTTCGATTCTCATCTGGACATGTCGACTCATGTGACTAAGACTTGTGCTAGCGCGTTTTATTATTTGTACAATATCCGGCACATTAGGAAGTATCTGTCTCGTGAGTCCACCGAGAGGCTTGTTCACGCGTTCATCACAAGTAGGCTTGACTACTGTAATGGTTTATTGTACGGTGCTCCTGAGTATCAAATTAAGAAACTTCAAAGAGTCATGAATGCCAATGCTCGATTGGTTTACTGCGCGCCTAAGTATTGTCACGTTACTCCTCTGCTAAGAGAACTCCACTGGCTACCAGTTCGCTTGCGCGTAGATTTTAAGATTCTCCTTGTTACATTTAAGATTCTTCACGGTGTTGCGCCTAGCTATCTTAATAATCTTGTCTCTGTCTTACCGGACTCACGTTACCAACTACGCCGTAACAATAATGGTATATTATTAGAAAGACCTCGGCTAAGAACGAAGAAGACTTTGGGAGATCGCGCGTTATCGATGGCTGCCCCCTTTTTATGGAACAGTCTTCCTCTGCCAATAAGACAGGAAACATCAATCGACTCTTTTAAACGCTCTGTTAAAACATATTTATTTAAAAAGGCTTTTAGTTAGATCATTTATTTATTTATTTATTTTTATTTATTATTGTAATTTTACCGGGTAATTTTACTGGTTTTTAATTTAGTTATTAATAATATTGTAATGCGCTTTTGAGTATTTTTATAGAAAAAGCGCAATATAAGTATTAAATATTATTATTATTATTATTACAATATAAACTCAAAAAACTATTTACATATCATATCTAAAAATTATTCTGTTACTAAAAACGTTCTTAAACCTGTCAGTGTAGATTCAAGGGACAGAGACTGACGTATTTCTAAGATTGTACCTCGTGTTCTTTTCCTTAGGTAAAAACTGGAAGAACGGACATTCGGGGTCATTCGATCTTTTTTGGTAGAGTGTCTTGTCCGCCTTCTCTAGCAAGTCCCTGATGTTTACAATCTTGGACATAAACTTTCTTTTCATACACCGGTCTAAAAAATTCTGTATTACAGAAAGGTCGGAATCTGAGGCACCATAAACCGGCAGAGCGTAAGAAAAATTTGGTAAAACTATTGCGTTAAAAAGGTGATCTACTTCCTCCTGGGACATTCCTTCCTTACGTACAGATCCTAATACGAATAATGACTTGTTCGCTTTAATTACCTTCGCGCGCACGTGACTACTGTATTTACAATTTTGTTGGAAAGTAACACCTAATATGGATAACTCTACGCACTGCGGTATATTACTAACTGGCGCGATGTCCTGACTGAAACCTTTCTTACGGAAAATAATCTCCTTGCATTTTGGTGGATTGCATGTCATGCGATTGCGGCTGGACCAGCTATTGGAAATTAACGCGACTTAAATTAACGCGAATTTAATGGAAAACGACTTTGGAATAAAGAAAATTAACGCAAAGAGGAGGTAGGGAAGGGAAAGGAAATTAACGCGATTATCTTGGCCAAAATCAAACATAACTTTTGATAGGGACAACGATGAAGATGAACTCGAAATACTGTAAACCTTCGCCTTCGCTTTTGTGAAAGATGAAAAGTAAAGAGTAAATAGAAAGAAAGAAAGCTTGTAGTTAATGTTTTTCTTAGGTGTCAAGAGTGTCTAGACAGGTTCCAAAATTGGGGTTAAAATACTCGAAATTAAGAGCACGGAGATTAACTCTGCACTTAATTAACGTCGCCGAAATTAACGCTCAACAAAATTAACGCGACTTAAACTAACGCGAATTTTAACGATTCGCGTTAATTTCATGGAGCGTTAATTTCCTATAATAAGGTATATCATTATAAATATTTTAGCCCTGGCTAAATCTATATATTATTATATATAAAAAATGCATTGTCAAAAGGGGAGAAAATATGGATTATGTACATGGCTTGCGTGGAATTAAAACCATAGCAAACAACTACCGTAAATGACCTAATAAACGCCTACTTCCAAATAAAGAGAATTACGCGAAGATACTAGGAATTAGCAAAAAGGAGCAAAATCATTCAATTCATTCAGTTTTTTGCTTGGCTTTGCGCATATCATTTTGCTCACTGCCAAGTTCAAAGCAAGGATACACTAACAACGGCAAAACCATAATGCTGAGCAAGGATTCTCACGTCGATGTTGGGATATGAAAAAGCGAAATTGATCTCTAGACTCCGGCCTTGACGCATCAATTGATGGAGTGGATATTCCGCTATTTTTAAACTCTGTTGATATTTTTGCCGAGAGCATATTAGTTTTGTTGAGCTTGTTACAGTTATGATCATTAATCGCCTCTCTTTTAAACACCTCCTAACCATTAAACGTCCCAGCTTGGATTAAAAAAATTAAATAGACGTACCGGGCGTTTAGTAGGTCATTAAAGGTATGCTATTTGAGTTGATGCAGGAGATGAAAGTTTGAAATGGCGTGAGACCGGTTTCCACAGGGTAAAAAAAAGCATGTTAGCGTGCGGTCTTAAACTGTACCTTTGTTAAGCTGGGAGTATCAGCAATTTTGGTGATGACCTTAAACATGGTGTCTACTCGGTCATAACACAGAACAACAGCAGTAAATCCTTGACTGTTGTAAGGACGCAGAGGAAAAAACAGTGGAGGTACAAGGTGAGACTGTCAACAAAAATCGCATCAAGTTACTGTCCAGTAAGAAACTTTCTATATCCAGGTTTAAATGGTTACAAATGGGCAAAAACCTTCTAAGACAACATTGATTCTTAAACTCACTGTTGCGGTTTCCTTGGAGCTAAAGAAAGGAGCATTCCAGTCCTGAAAACAAGGAGATGATAAGTAGCCTGAATTTCAGACGATCACTTCGAGTCGTTTTCTCCTCTACGCAACGTCTGAATCGACCGGCCGTTAATGCCGTCCAGTGACGTCACCACCCGAACAACGGGTAGTGATTTTGATAGGTTGATTGTCCAAACATTCGCATAATTATGTATAATTATGAGGAACGTTAGCAGGATTGTCGGTTTGATTGTCGGTTTGTCGTATGCCTGGCATGCTTGCGTAGAGCTCAAAAATTTTGACAATCTCTATCGTAAACAGCAAAATTGCCCTTGTATTCGAAATTATGATTTGTTAAATTGAACTACGAATGAAGAATCATTGCGGTTTACATTTAGAGCCGCCTTGTGATTTCGGCAGTAACTTTGTTGGTGCGAAGTTTTCTGGGATTTAAGTTATAAACTTAATTAGCCACTTCAGAGTTGCGTAGGGAACTGCGGCGAGTTTCAAATTTCCACTAATCAATAAACTGACACCATCATATATCATATATACGTCTATAATTTTGTGACAGCGTCCCCCAAAACCATATATTCTCTTTAAAAATTTTCAGTTTTGTTTTTTTTTCCTGTAAAATTCGTCATGCATCTACTACTTGGAAGGAACTAATTCGAAAATCACTGTGTTTGCCCATTTTTAGGAATATCACTGAAATTGTGAAAAAAATTAAGAATTTATATGGTTTAGGCACTTTAGAGGGACGCTGTCACAAAATTACAGAGGTTTGTATGTCTCTTTAACCATGTTTCAAGAGTCATAACTTGATCCCTGTTCAACCTTAGAGCACCAAACTTGGTCAAATGACCAATCTTATATGGTGGTGTCAGTTTATCGATCAGTTTAAATTTGAAACTCGCCCCAGTTCCCTACGCAACTCCGAAATGGCCAATTCGACCTTCTCGACATTTCCACCGTCAAGTGTAATGATTCTAGTAGCTCTTCTTTCTTGTTTTCTTTCTTCTTTGTTAAGGACCAAATTGCTTCTTTTCAATTAAAGCAAATTGTTGTGTTTTTGAAGTGTTCCGCGTGTGTATTTTTTTAAAAGCTTATTTCATTGCGTGATTGCGATCGAATTTGATTATTGAATTACAAACAGATTCGTTCAGACTACCGCATACAGTTAACGGTTTACACGTTAAACATGAATTACAATACAAAAGAGTAAAGCAATTAGGTATCACGTAGACATTTCCAGACGATATTTCTTTGTTTGCCAGTTCAAAATCGTGTTTTACTTTTTGCATGAATTAACGCAAAGGAGTACCACGACACTGAATGGCATTAACGGCCAGTCGATTCAGACGTTACTGAGGGAGTAAAAACGACTTGAATCAATCGTCTGAAATTCAGGCTAGATGATTAGATGATGAGGACAAGTTAATTTGGTTAGATGAGGTACTTGGCTACTGCTAACAACTGCCAATGACATCTTCCAAAATATCCCCATGGGAGGGGACGTGGACAGTGAGAAGCAGCTGGGAATTCTCAAGGTAGTGAGTCTTTTTGGGCAGTGTTCACACCAGGTGCCCAGATACTCATTGTTAAGGTCATGTTTTAAAATAACATCTGACAGGGTAAAATGGAGTTATTATGTACACAGTCACCTATCAGGTACTCAGGTGTGAGCTGGTACCCAGGCACTGGTTCCTGGGCACCAAGTGTGGAGACTGGACAGTCCCTTCGAATTTTATCAGTTCAGGGGCCTGTTTCTTGAAAGGCCCAGTAACTTTTCGAGTTTGAAGGCAAATTTTGAAATCAAAACCTTTTGAATAGTAGCACAGTGCCTAGCTCACAAGTCAGTCAATCTTGCTTCGTTAACTGATAATTTCATTGTACCACTTTCAAAATTATTGAAACTTTGATCTTGAGTACAAACACGGCAAACATAAAACAGCTTTTTGGGCCTGAAAGGTTATTGGGACGTTCGAGAAATGGGCCCCAGGCTAGATTTCTGCCTTAAAGAGAATGTCTGCTTTGAAATAATGAGAGTGCCTGGTACTGATTTGATGCTGTACTGGTCTAGAATGTGTAGTGCATTGGCTGTTATATGTATACTTTTAACAAGCTAAATGAAAAAGCATGTGAAACTCCTGTTTCCTCTTGAGTTACATTAATTTGTTCATTCCTTAGTGCATTTACTAAATGTAACAGAAAAATAGCAAAGCCTACAAATTAGTGTAGTGCTTACTTCATACTGCCAAGCAGAGTAATGGTACACTCTGTCATTTAAAACTCTTAAGGTAGCAAGAGCTATCTTTCCCATGGAGCTGAAATACCTGTCCCAAAACCATTTTCCCTGAAAGAGAAAAAACAGCTGTTTAGATTAAGAATCATGGCTGCTTTGCACCAGCAAACAAGGTGCTAACAAGGAAACGAAACAAGAGATGATGATTTACTAACATCGTTTGTTATTGCAGGGTCACAAGCATTGATCCTCTAATTACAAGTTCTCCTCAACCCTGGAATTGGTACTTCTTTCCGATAAACTATTTTACCTACCTGTCGTCTCATGTCTGTGACTTGTCTTTCTGGGATTTCCTTTAGAATGGCTGGGATGCGTTTGATCTTCTTTTCCGCAACGTGAACTGCAGCCCTACAAACAATAAAAATTTCGTTTAACCTATCTATTTAGTAAAATGAACTCCGTAATATACTTTCTGCTGTTTCAGCTTTACACTTAGCATATGCAAGCTAAGGTTAAATTTAATAGAGTTGATGCACTGTGTACACCAGTTTGCATTTAAACTGCACGTATTATATGTTCATTACGTAAATAAAAAATAAATAGCTGTACCCACGTGATTGTTGGTATGTTTTGCCTGGCGTGATTTTATAATAGCAATAATAGTACATTCACGAGTATTCGAAAATACTTACAGTGTAAGCAGTCTTCACACTCATTGTCAGTACTATACTATGGCATTGTTGTCAACACCCTCATAAAAATAATCACATCAACTTCAATTTATAGAGCTTACAAAATCTAATTTGTGTTTTGATCTCATGCTCTGATTGGCTGAGAGGTGAGTAACAGTATGAATGACAGGACAGTATGTAAACACAGTTGTGGCATCATCACGTCTTGCTGTCCACTAATTAAGCAACAAAAATGTTTTTAAAATACTATTAAATCATATTTAATGTAATTAACGACTAGGAGCTATGGTGTCTAGTGTTTTGGCATTCTTTGGTGGCGTTTTAGCTATCTGTAGCGCTGTTGCGTGACTGTTTGCGTTTGTAGCGTTTACCATTGTTCGTGAGCTTGGGGGCAGATTCCTGTCCAGCGGTATGTCGCTTCAGCGAATGCGCAGGCCATGTGCCTACGTTGTGTGTGCATTGTACTCGAAGCTTTGTTAGCATGGCGTGGCATTGTAGTAGCGTAGCGTTTCTTTTGGTTGCCCTCCCTCCCTCCGCTTTTTTGGTTTAGGGTCTCCCTCCGTCCCGGTTTTTTTTCCCTTTGTTTCAGGGGTTTGTTCATTTTACTTCCACTGGGCTTCTGGCCTCAGTGTGATGGGTGCCGTAGAGGGGGGCTGGGGCTTGTGTTGGGATTGCTGGTTGGTAAGCCTGTGGGTGTTCTTCCGCCTTGGGGTGTGATTGCGGTTGCAGCCCCCTGGCCCATGGGTACCCAACCTCCACTTGCGACGCGGGCGTTGATTAAACTTTTTGACATGTTTATTTTATTTACCCATTTCTTCAACAGTTCAAAATTGAAAAATCACTGCAAAAATGAAAATCTGTTTCGTAATGAAAACTTCTGAAAAACAAGAGCTGGCTATGCATGCAAAACTTTGCGTACAACACTTCAAGCCTTGTAAGAATTCTATTTTATCCAGCATCCTTAGGCGTTAGCAAAGAGTTTTGCCTCTCTTTGTTGACGAAAAATAAAAATAGTTGAATAGTGAAACAAATTTAAACTGGAATTTGAGACAGCATTACAGCTTTGTAATAAATATTTTCCCATGCTGGGAATGAAACGGCCCATAATCTCTGCCAAATAGCTGTCACTTAAGGAGTTACTTTAAAAATTTTTAAGGTAGTTCCCTTTTGTCGTTCGTGCATAGTGTGATCTGTGTAAACAGTCACAGGGTGAGGAGAATTCTCGAGAACTATGCAATCCCTGGACTTCATCTTGGGTTTGCATAACTGTCTCGGATAAAAGCAATAGAGAGCTTTCACTGAAAAAAACTAGAGCATGATGTTGTCACTCAACATCATGCTCTAGTTTTTTTCAGTGAAAGCTCTCTATTGCTTTAATAATTATAGTATGCCATACTTGGAGAAGATAATCATTAAACACACACTTGTAAAATTTATATAGGTAAAAATAATGAAATGCCTATCAAAAATAGCAAATAAATAAACTGCAACTGACCTTTTCCAATCTAACACATCAGAAAAAGGTAAAACGTAATCATCACTGACAATAACAGGGATACACCCCTAAAATATATAAAGATAAAATCACTTTGTCAATACATGAGCTTAGCCCTTGTAATGCTACTATTAGTTACTATTAATACTGTCACAACAATACTTCATACATCAACACTGACAAAAGGAATAGCGCTTTGCACTATTACTAGAAGTAGGTTTTCTGAAAGTTAAGAACACACACGTGCCGCAGACAATCTTTGCATTCTACTGGGTTTTGTATGAGCAACATGCACTTCCAGCAATGAACGTTTTAAATTTGTATTTTGAGCTTTATTCCAATAAGGCATTACTGATATAGGGAGCACAACCTGGTCTAATTAACTCAAATCAATCTTAAAAATCAGAAAATAAAGCGACCTGATCAAACTAGGCGTCTGAAATCGGATCTGTGGCAGAATTTCAAAGCTGTTAAAAGCACACCAACATGAGCACAAACAGGAAATTGTATAAATCATGTTTGGTTGCGCGGCCAGTACACTGTAGCTGCCATACAGTATTTTAAGAAAGTGAAGAAGGATCATCGCAGTAAATTTTCCAATTTGAGCAATTGGAAAGAAGAAGCCTGAAAAAATTAGGGCTTCAAAGGGATTCGAACCCGTGACCTCCGCGTTACCGGTGCGTTGCTCTACCAGCTGAGCTATGAAGCCACACATTGGGAGTGAGGTTCGAATCCCGTTGAAGCCCTGATTTTTTTCAGGCTTCTTCTTTCCAATTGCTTAAAATAAATAATTAACTGGAAAATTTACTGCGATGATCATTCTTCACTTTCATCTACAACCGCAGTTCAAAAGTGAATTATTTCATATATACTTCACATCATACAGTATTTTGATATCCAAGCTTCAAAATAAATCACAGCTTTTAGCCTGAATCTGTAGACTTTTTATGTCAGGGTTTATTATTCTCAGCTGTCAATAATGAATGAGCACGTCCCATCAATAGTGTATCATTACTAGAAATTATTATTTCTTCACTCACAAACCAGGGCGGAGAACCCCTGGCAGAGAACAAACATGGGAAATCTGTTCTGTCGAGCAATATGAATACAAAACTGACTTTCATTTGAATGAGTGAAAAGGCTTCTCAATCTAAAACGGCACTAAACAGGTTTTTGTGCAAACTAAATCTTGATTACACTTGCAGAAACACAAAGGCGGTAACGCAACAGTTTGTCTAGCGCAAACTTGCATGTCTCACCCTTGAACAAACGCGTAAAAGAATTAGTTGCATGTTCACGGTGAACAAGAATTCTCCTTTTCAACTTTTGCAACACGCTTGAAATTTCCAAACCTTTATCTACTCATTTTTCCAAAAAGCCGTTTAAAACGCTTTTTGGCTGCTTTATTGTCTGATATGAGACCACTTCAATTTTAGCATGACATTTTCTATTTCTTGGGTGAAAAGTCGCCAGCACGTATGGTCAAAGTGCCGGACTGCCAGCTGCTATTTTGAACTCTGATATCCATATAATAGTGAACAAGTATTGCCTTTGCACTAAAAATATTGATCATCCCTTGTAATTGCATGATTTGTAACCGAAATGTGCCCTTTTACGAACAACTTTGCTGTCCTGCTCCGGGCCCTGCTCTCGGTACATTTTCTTAGCGGGATGCCGTAACAAACTGTACCCACAGTAATGACACTACATTAGGGATAACATCACTCATCTAAAGTTATCTCCATGTTTAAATTAATTATTTTCAAGATGTCTGAGTCACACCAGGGACCAGAAATTTGTGACATCATTAGTGCAAAGGGCTATTTAGTGACACCTGTTAAGTAAACATGATTTGAATTTTACAAACAAAATTGTACATTGTGACCATTCAAGTGATTCTTCTTGTATAGAACTTAAATATCGATTACAGAAGGCAATAGCAAATTTAGGATTTTGAATGGATTTCAGTTTGTCACTATCTAGTAAGGCTTAAAGTCTTACCATCATCAATGCATCTAACAGTGTTGACTGACCCAACCTGACTCCACGTATCACTAGACAGAACTCGGCATGCTATCACAGGAATAAGCAAACATCTAATTTTATTAAAATAGTTAACATTGCGCTACAGCGAAAAAAGAAAAAAACAGTTCTTAACCACGCCCACATGCAAAAAACCCTTTCTCAATTTTCCAGTGTGCCTACACTCCAGTTTTGGATAGTAAAATTTAATTCAACTGACCTGGCAGGGTGTACAAATTCTCCATGCAATCTTAGCAAGGCATTGCAAAAGGTTTTAAGAGAGAACAATGTTATGGGGCACCAAATGTACTTTTATTATTTAGAGTGGTTATTTGTATATAACCAAACCAATGTTGGTTATTTACAAATAACCACATTACAGTTTCATTATTTCTAAATAACCAAAATATAAAATTGGTTATTTACAAATAACCAAAACTGAAATTTGGTTATTTGTGGTTATTTCTAAATAACCAAATGCGCAATTGGTTATTTATTAAATAACCAAAATGCGAAGTTGGTTATTTATTAAATAACCAAAATGCGAAATTGGTTATTTATTAAATAACCAAAATGCGAAATTGGTTATTTATTAAATAACCAAAATGCGAAATTGGTTATTTATTAAATAACCAAAATGCGAAATTGGTTATTTATTAAATAACCAAAATGCGAAGTTGGTTATTTATTAAATAACCAAAATGCGAAATTGGTTATTTATTAAATAACCAAAATGCGAAATTGGTTATTTATTAAATAACCAAAATGCGAAATGCGAAATTGGTTATTTATTAAACAACCAAAATGCGAAATTGGTTATTTATTAAATAACCAAAATGTGAAATTGGTTATTTGTTAAATAACCAAAATGCCAAATTGGTTATTTATTAAATAACCAAAATGCAGGCAGAATGGAAAATTGATTATTTATAAACAAACTGGACAGTTGGTTATTTAGTAAATAAAACATGGACGATTAAAAATCCAAAACAGTGCAAAAATGGTTATTTACCTAATTTGGTCTTAGCAAGAGGCCACGTGGCCCATTTTCTCGCTCAGTACCCATAACGACTTGCAGCTTCCATTGCGACTTGCAGCTTCCAACATGGCTTCTTAAAAAAGCATAGCGCGGTTAAATGCAGAAATGGCTCCGAGCTGTTTTGAAGTTAGCTACTAACCGATCCAAATCTGATACATGCCTGACATGCCACTACAGACTGTTCACAGTCCGTATTTTTCCGTAAGATCGTCGAGATCGAGCACTTTGCGTTACGGGCTGCCATCTTGGATGAGTGTCAAAACTAACCAGGGGGCAGGGGGCGGTTTGGGAGGAAGCGAGAAAAATAGTCCGTGAGTAGTTTTGACGCTCATCCAAGATGGTTGCCCGCTACGCAAAGCCTATTGCGACAGGATTCTCTAATCATCCTGATATTGTGGAATTCTGTAGGTACTTTTGATGATTTGTCAAGCCAATCTTTGCCCAAAGAGACCTCAGGAGCAGGAAAGTAGCATTTTCCTGCGTATCAATTTACTGAAAAAGTCCCGAGGAAAACGCTGGAATAGGATTTCCGAGACCCAAAATATAAAAATTTTCCGGGGGAGCATGCCCCCAGATTCCACTAGGTTGGGTCGCCTTCGGCGCTACAACTTTCCTCCCTACTTGCGTGCGAAAGGTTTATTAGAAGATACATCATTATGGGAGCTCTAAAGTGGAACGAATTAGGATAGACATCATGATAACTCGAAAGAACAGACGGGAGCCAATCTTAATTCTTCAGTCAGCAAGTGATATGACCAATAAAATTGTAAAAGAAATCGAAAAGAGAGACACTTTATTTGGTATTTCATTCAGTTTTTAGGAAGTACAGAATTGAATCCAGGGATCAAAAGATTTTCACGGGATCAGGGATCAGGATTTGCAACAATTTTGGATGAGGTATCAAAATTTTATGGCCAAAATGTGAGATCAATCGGGAAAATATATACCTCGTTAAGACCCTGTTGTATGACAAAACAGTGTAAAATACGATACGTTTCACGAAAATGCAAAATTATTTTTGAATATGTGTTATGTCTGAAGATTAAAGGACAAGGGAACAAATTGGCCAGAAATGAATGATGTGACGGGACGACATTTCATTGGATAATCTCTGGAGTATCATGAGTAGATGACGGTAAATGAAGACTAATGGTGGTAGATGTAGGCGTATGAAGGCAAAAGAAGGCTAATGAATGCAGGTGACCGTGGATAAAGGCTAATGAGGGTAGATGAAGGCTAATGGAGGAAGAGGACGGTAGATGAAGGTGGAAGGAGGCAAAGGTTATTGAAGGCCTATGTAGGTAGATGAATATTAATGACGAAGGATGAGTGTGAATGAAGGTAAATGAATTAGAATGAAGGTGAATTAAAATAAATGAAGGTGAATGAAGATTCATGAAAGCGAATGAAGGAGGAGGAAAATGAAAGTAAATAAAGGAAAATGAGGGTGGAAGAAGGTAATGAAAGAGAAAAGAGGAAAGTGAAGGAAGTGGAAGAAGCCATGTTGGAAATAGAAGTCTGCAAGACGTTATGGGAAATGAGCGGGAAAATGGGCCACGTGGCCACTTGCTAAGACCAAATTAGGTAAATAACCATTTCTGTATTAAATAACCATTTTTGCACTGTTTTGGATTTTTAATCGTCCATGTTTCATTTACTAAATAACCAACTGTCCAGTTTGTTTATAAATAACCAATTTTCCATTCTGCCTGCATTTTGGTTATTTAATAAATAACCAATTTTGCATTTTGGTTATTCAACAAATAACCAATTTCACATTTTGGTTATTTAATAAATAACCAATTTTGCATTTTGGTTGTTCAACAAATAACCAATTTCACATTTTGGTTATTTAATAAATAACCAATTTTGCATTTTGGTTGTTTAATAAATAACCAATTTCGCATTTCGCATTTTGGTTATTTAATAAATAACCAATTTCACATTTTGGTTATTTAATAAATAACCAATTTCGCATTTTGGTTATTTAATAAATAACCAATTTCGCATTTTGGTTATTTAATAAATAACCAACTTCGCATTTTGGTTATTTAATAAATAACCAATTTCGCATTTGGTTATTTAGAAATAACCACTTTTTAATTTTTGGTTATTTGCTAAATAACCAAATTTCAGTTTTGGTTATTTGTAAATAACCAATTTTATATTTTGGTTATTTAGAAATAATGAAACTGTAATGTGGTTATTTGTAAATAACCAACATTGGTTTGGTTATATACAAATAACCACTCTAAATAATAAAAATACATTTGGCTCCCCATACATCTTCTTCCAAAATGGCACAATTTTTTAAACTTTTTTTCTTTATGATAATTCCATCTTCATGCCTCACTTCAAGTTAAAATTTATTTTGCAATTTGTGCAAGTGAAATTGAGGCACACAAAAAAGGTAGTGTTGCCGTCATTTTGGAATATGCTCATCCTCGGAGACCCAGGGGCAGTCAGTCAGGTCGGGAGAAAAGGCGGGACGAAAGTTTTCAAGTACGGGCAAAAGAGCCCCTGGGTACCGACTCTCACCGAACTATTTCCAAAAATTCAACCGGATGCCGGCTCCTGATTGGGCACAAAAAATGCTTTGTATTATTGTGCCAAATTGGCGCACAGTTTCTCCTGAGTTCTTCTCATGAGTTCGTACACGACGGCTATTGTTTCAATCACGGTTTGTGTGGCTATGCACGCAGTCGGGAAACTTTCAGTTTGATATAAAATCCCCATCTAATTTCAAAATACTGTTTGCCCGAAAAATAAAGACACTTTTCCAAAGCCCGTGGAATATGCAGTGGGCAAGTTTTCTAATCAGGTCCCATGGCCAGTGACCCTGGCGTTATACCCACAAGATAAGCGGAAGGAGTACATTAAATGGAAGAGAACGAAAAGCAATTAAAAATGGCTCTTTCTGCAACTCAGAAGACTGTAAAAAAGGCTAACATTTACCAGAACTGTAACTAAATGATAAAAGCTTTTATAAATAGAGTACACTTTTAGAAAAGAAGCAGATAATTAACCTGTAAAATATCTGGATAATCATAGGTCACTGCACCCTTGCACCTTTTGTTTACATTGTTGACATCATCAGGGCAATGCTTCAGAATCAAAAAGCCAGAGTTTTCTTTTTCAACGTCTTCTAGTTCTCTCATAAACCGGTGGTTCATGTTTGCTTGGGATGACACAAATCTCCAGTCTATTAACCTAAAGGTGAAACACAGGTAACCTCAGGACCTAAGCGATGGCTATAATATATGAGATTTAGCAAGGGTTAAAAGCGAAGCTCTCGATAATATTTATAGTTTGTTCAAACAAAATATAAAATCGTGTAATGCTAAGCGGCGAAGGCAACGCCGGAGAACGGTGAAAAACAACAATAGCTCTAATTAGCAAAAAAGCAACTTTGCACGTTCAGCACACTTGTTTTTTACATTTATTTGTCGTTGTTTTGCACGACTACAACGTGAAACTTACAGAAACGTCTTAGTTACACGTTTTATGGAGGAAATGTCATACGTTTTCTCGTTCACTTTTTTTCACTGCCGCTCATTTTCACCTTGCGTTGGTGGCCGCTAGCATTTATCATTTTGTCACCGCCGCTACAAAATTTCATGTTGTTCTTCCGACAAAAAAAAATGCCTCCTTTGTTTTTATCTCTCGCTCTAGATCTCGGTCGCCCTTTTTCTCGTTGAGCTTCGCTGGCCTGCTGCCTACTTTCTCTTTTTCTGTCTTTCTCGTACTCTATATTCCAAATTTAAGAACATGAGAATTAATCTAAGCTTAATACTTTAGAAAACATGGATACAGAGACAATTTCAACTTTCCGTTTTCGTCTTCATTGACTCTTTAGTTGTCTCTGCTTCACAGGACACGGGTGGCTATCCGATTTCCCGTCCAAAAAACCGCGAGTTGCATTTGGGTTGCCATACCTGTTGACTGAGTTATTTTACCACATTTTCTTACCCATGGTGCTCCGCTGCGCGAGAGCTCCACTAAAATCTACTTAAATTCTAGTAAGAGCAAATTTACAACTGGGAATTTATAGCCCACACAGATTGGAAGCAAATATCTTTAACATACTTGTGAAATGAAACTATCAGTATAAAAAATTATGAATGATGAGTTTGTACCAAAAGTCAATAATTCTACATGTACACGCTGTTGCCTCCTCCTTGACTATGTCGTTCAACCTATCATTACTGACAGGGACTTTTCCTTCTACTTGGAAAAGGGTTGTACCCCTGCATGAGAAAGGTGATAGACGAGATCCATGCATCATTTTGTAGGCCAATCTCCATCTTGTCCACTTTGACTTGAGCAAGATCTTAGAAAGAGCCGTCCATACCTAATTTTCTGGATACCTGACAGAGAATAATATTTTATTTAATCTCCTCAAAAAAGTTTGGTTTCAGACTGAAATCCTCCACTGTTACAGCCTCTGTACAGTTTATTGATCAGTTACTTACGAGGATGGACAGCGGCTCAACCACCGGAGTCGTTAACATTTGTGCAATGTCATTTGGGGACATAATAACGTGCTGATCCCTCAGTTGGCTTCCTATTGCAGATCCCTTGTGTTCTTCAATTCACTGCTAGAAGGCGCTGGCAAGTGCAACCCACATAACCTATAACAAACAGGTTATATTGAAAATGATACACACACATATTTTTGATTCACAAGGGTGGCTTGTCTTCCCTCACTTTGATTTCATCCCTGTTCTTTCAACCTGTGTTCACCAGGATGATAGTTGCACTGATCTTCCAACTAAGGTCTCCAAGTTGTCTGCATACTCCGTTGTAGATTTCTGGTGTTTGAAAGGCAGCAAAATCGTGATTGGGGCTTCATTCTTGTCAAAAACTTTTTGTTGTGTTAGTAATCATCTGACACTTAAACTGGCAGATGGTAGACTTCACGCCATTTATATACCATCCACGTAGCTGTGGTAATGAAACAGTGACCCAGTGTCCGTTGTTTGACTACCTGTACACGTTTGTGTCCAACTGGCATCGATTCCTGATTATGTCCATTCCCAGAAAGAAGAGACTGCCATTAACTTAAACCTCCATTGTGAAATTGATAGAAGGATGAATGCCGTTTAACATCATCAGGAAGGACTATCAGAGGCTGTTTCAACATCAGGCATTGCGCTAAGCATATCATCGACACTGCGTTTGTAAAAAGCAGGCGTCTTATTTTTGGTTTCTAGCTGTTTCTCGACGTTAAACCTTAAACCTACTCCATACAGGTTTCCTTCGAACGGAAATCAGTGGAACCTCGATTTAACAAAGTGCCAATAGGGGACAGGAGAAATTTGTTCAATTATCGAATTTTTGGGAAAACTACCAAAATGTTCGTTACTATGGAGGTACACGTATAGTTAATTGTCACTTTACGAAACCCAGCATTTCCGGATCTGAAAAATTACTGTAATAACATTTCAGTAATGAGCTATACATAGCTTTGGCACTAGAAACTCAAAAACAGGCAAACAAAACTGCTTAAAACAACTGCCACATAATTTTATCCTACAAGTAGCTTGTTGGTCTGTTTGGCATTCATCTTTTATCACATGCTGACATTTTTTCGTTATATCGAGGTACATTTTACATTTGCACTTGGGGATTTTGTTCGTTATAACGAGGATTTCGTTAAATCAAGGTTCTGTTTCTTACATTTTACTGCAATTTTGGCCGGGCCGATGAAAATCGTTTGTTAGAGGTTGGTTAAACCGAGGTTCCACTGTAGCCAATTTTTAATGGCAAGTCTTGATGTTTGGTACTGCAGTTCTTTCTTGAACTACAATCATTTTCAAAGGCTCTTTTTGTGGTCTTACAATTACCTGTATCTACAGGTACGTATGTTGGTAAAGGTCATAAAGAGTGAGGATATGTCATACCAAACTAAGATGTCTTGGAGATTAATATTGTCATATCACGGAGCTCATCGGCGAATTAGAATAATATGTTTCTGACAGTGTGGTCAGATCACTGGACACATGCATGGCTAGCTTCTTCTTGTGTGTTTTAATTTTGCATTGGCAGACCGCAGAGATGGGCAAGTGTTGAAGCCTCCTCGATTATTAATGAATCAGCAATGGTTTTGGGCTGCAGGATCCTTTGTCCAATGGAAGAGAACTCTTTTTTTCTGAAGAAGTGGGTGGTTTTGCTTCAAAGGTTCATGTTTCATGTTTTTGGTTTCTCAAGACTTACTGCCAGGAACTTTGCCTCATCATTAACGGATGACTCCTTCAACGGATGCATGTGTCACCAACAGAGAAACAACATTTATTTCTTGACAACTTATTAGGCCCCGAAAATGAAAGTTAGCAAAAAATCCTAAAATGATATCTTATTTTGGGTTCGCATCAGCTCATTCTGAAAATTCCATTGACAATGAATGCAGAGCGTATTCTATTAAAAACAACAAAATGCTTGACGAAAACAGAGGACAATAGAAATGACTTGAAAGCAAGAAGAAGGAACTAACCTTCTCCTTTTTTTCTAATTTCTTTATAATTTAATTCACCTTTTTGTCACCCAGGTAACATAGAGGTACAAAATACAAAATACGTTAACGTCACGTTCAGGATCACAATAATTAATATCATTTTTTTTGGCAATCATTGCTTTAACCCTTTAAGTCCCAATGGTGTCCAGTCATATCCATTGATTGTCAAGAGATTTGGTTATGAGAATTAATAAATTGATCACCTAAGAGAAAATGCTTTGATCTTTCATCAAATTCTCTCAACTTATTCTTTAAGAAAATGTATAAAGATCAGTTTGGAGAATTTGTATGTGGATATTGGGGCTTAAAGGGTTAAGTCTTTGAAACTCTGATAAATCTGTTACAATATGTTATCAACAGATCAATAGTATGTACACTTAAATGACACCCAATTTAACACTTGTGGTCAACATCGCGTCTTGTTCACTGTATTTCGGCCCCATCTAGTACCGTATAAAGCTTATTGAAACATGGTGGCAGCGCAATTTTTAATACAACACTCATGATTGATAGAGACGAAACGACTTCTACTAATACGTCCACTGTTGCAACTCCTTCTACCGCCGCAAACGCTATGGCAAGCAATATTTCCCCTATTCAAGGAATTCACCCTCCCCGTCCTTTGGACGTGAAAGGGAACGTGGCGGACAACTGGAAGATGATTATTACTTCGCAGCCCGAAGCATACAAAGTTCTATACAAGGTAGCGTTATTTCTGCACTGCATAGGTCCTGGGGCCGTAAAGATTTTTAATGGAATGTCTTTTGAAAACCCAGATGATAACGAGAAATTGGAATGCATCATAAACAAGTTCGAAGAATTCACAATTGGCGAAATTAACAAGACGTATGAACGTTATGTGTTTAACAGAAGAAACCGGTCACCTGAGGAATCTATTGACTCATGTATCGCAACGCTTCGTACTCTCGCACAGACGTGCAATTTCTGCGAATGTTTGAGAGACACCCTCATTCGAGATAGGATCTTATTAGGTGTGTGCAACCCGTAGACAAGAAAATGATTATTACAGGAACGAAACACTCAACAAGTGTATAGATATCTGCCGGAGCAACGAATCGACAGCTTCGCAACTGCAAGGCAAAAACGTCTGAAGATGTTCATCAAATAAAAGGAAAACAAGAAAACTATCGCCACCGCAATTACAATAATCGGAACGGAAAGAATGGAAAGAATGGCAAGTCACGAAAATCTTGTAACTTCTGTGGTGGAAATCACCCCTTTGTTCGCGGCCAATGTCGAGCCTGGGGACATAATTGTAACAAGTGTGGAGGAAGAAATCATTTCGCAAACAAATGTAAGAAGAGTGGCAAAAATGTGCACAATATCGAACCAACAGATAGCCCTGCTGAGGATGACGAAGAAGTTGATCACATACCTAGTATAGCAGAAAACGTGTGTTCTGTTGGACCATCTGATAAGCGCCACTTTGCAAAAGAAATCTCTTCTGAGATGGTAATTGATGACAAATCAGTCATATTTCAAATGGATTGCGGCTCTTTGATAAATATCATCCCCAAGAGCATAGTTGACAAGCACAAATTAACACCCACTTCAAAAACCCTCATCATGTGGAACAAAACGGAAGTCACGCCACTTGGGACGGCAAGAATTATTGTCACGAACCCAGCCAATCGCAACAAATACTCAGTGGAATTTGTCGTGGTCAATGAAGAATTGCTTCCCTTGATGAGAGCTAGAGCAGCACAGCACACGAAATTGATCACTGTGAACTGGGACAACTTCAAGCCAGCTGCACCGCCTAAGAGGAGTAAACCAAAAGTGAACAATCTGTTGACTCTTGATCAAGTGGTAACGCAACACTCAGATGTGTCTGAACGACAACTTGGCTGCTTTTCTGGAGTTGTACACACAGAAGTGGATGAATCCGTGAGGCCTGAAGTCACTCCAACTCACAGAATACCCACAGCACTAAAAGAAAAATTCAAGACAGAACTCACACGACTTGAAGAGTTAGGAGTCATCTTCACAGTTGAAAAGCCAACGCCATGGATTAGTAGGGTAGTTACAGCGACCAAGAAATCAGGAACCCTTATGATCTGCATAGACCCGAGAACACTTAACAAAGCCCTCAAGAGAAAGCGCTATCAGCTTCCCGTCCTTGATGAAATTCTCCCGGAGGTATCAAAGGCTAAAATATCCTCATGGTCGGTGTTTTGCAGATAGGCTCTAGATAGGAGGTCTGTTATGTACATATTCTTTCCTCTTTCGTACTGCACATCAAAGTCGTACTTTTGAAACCTCATGATCATACCTTGTAGTCGTCGGGGTGCATGTGCTAAGGGCTTCTTTGAACTTGCCTCAAGGGGTTTATGATCGCTGTAAATGGTGACGTGTCTTCCATAGGTAAACTGATTGAACTTCTCACGGGCGTAAACGATGGCTAACATTTCTTTCTCTATCTGGCCATAGCGTGTCTCAGTTTCTGTGAGCACATGACTAGCGTAAACCACAGGTTTGTGATCTTGAAGGAAGGCTGCGCCTAGTACCTTTTGACTGGCGTCGCATTGGATAGCTACAATCCTGGACAAAACTACTTGAGAAAATGTTTTTATTAATGCGCACTACCTAACGCAACAAAACTATTTCCGAATCAACGGCTTTGCGTAAAGAAAACCCCCTCCTCCAGTTCAAAGTTGCTTCCTACAAATGCTTAGGGATCCGGCTTTCTTTTGAAGACCCAACAACACTGCTTCCAGGGGGAGGGGGGAGGGAAGAATTGGTCGGCTACGAAGTTTAGAAAAAATGCCCTCCAAGTATGCAATTTTCTCAACAGTTTTGTCCAAGATTGTAGGTCACTACAAGGGTTTTAGTAGCTGAGAACCGGCGCCCCTGTGACAAGTTTCTGTATTATTTTCTTGAAAGGCAGTTTCTTTCATTCTTGTGGGTGAGTCGACGTATTGGCTCCAAGCTCTGAGCGAGTTTGGGCAGGAACTTTGCAAGGTAATCCACAAAGCCATTCAGGCGTTGAACTTCTTCCACATCGGTGGGCTTAGGCATTTCCAAGATTGCTTTGGCTTTCTGCTGATCGATTTTGATTCCTTCATTTGTCAGTTCACGTCCCGTGAAAGTGACTTTCTTTCGTCACAATTTATGTTTTTCCCGGTTAAGAGCCATGCTCATGCAACGACATCTTTCTAGGAATTTTAGGAGCTTTCGATCATGTTTTAAATTGGCTTCTTTTTCAGTGTTTCCAACACCATATACCAAAATATCATCTGTGATGTCTAGTGCTCCTTCTAGGCCTTCTAGAATTTGTTAACCCTTTTCTGGAAAATCTCCGAAGAGAGCGATAAACCAAAGGGCAGTCTTCGCCAGCCGTATCACCCAAACGGTGTGGCGAAGGTGGTTAGGAGACTTGAGTCTTCATCAAGGTTGCAGTGCCAATATCCCGAGCAGAGATCGACCGTTGAAGAAGCAAACGAATTTGAGCAAGTCAACACGGCCAGCTTTCTTCTGATCTCGGATCAACGACTGTAAGAGATCAGACGCGAGACAGACAAATACAAGCCACTTCAAATCCTTAAAACTGTCATATTACAAGGTTGGCCTGCTGAGAGAAAAGACGCTCCCATGCAAGTAATGCCTTATTTCATCGTCAGAGACGAACCGTCTGTTCAGGACGGACTAATATTTAGGAGTGAGAGAGTCGTCGTACCGCAAGCTCTGCGACAAGACATTAAACAAAGAATCCACTCGTCCCACATGGGAGCTGAATCTTGCTTACACCGTGCACGAGAGTGTGTATTTTGGTCCAAAATGAATGCTGAAATCAAAGAAATGATTGCAATGTGCAAAACCTGTACAAAATTTGAAGCTAGTCAGCCCAAGGAACCCCTCATGCCTGTGGAGACGCCCTCGAGGCCACGGGAGAAAATGGGAGTTGATCTCTTCTCCTTTGACAACAAAGATTTCCTCCTTACAGTCAACTACTTCAGTAACTACTGGGAAATTGCCAAGTTAAACAACACCCTTGCCAGTACAGTGGTCCTCAAGCTGAAGAGTCACCTCGCACGATACGGATGTCCTGACCAAGTTATTAGTGACAATGGACCCCAGTTTACATCGGACACTTTCCAGAAATTCGCTGGCACGTGGGAATTTGAGCACCTAACAAGCAGCTCGGGTAACCCCAAGGCAAACGGGAAAGCAGAATCTGCCGTAAAAACTGTCAAAAATCACCTCCGGAAAGCCCTTGACAGTGGAAGAGATCCGTACATGGCAATCCTGGACTATTGTCATACACTGACACAAGGACTGGACGCCAGTCCGGCTCAAAGACTGATGAATAACGCACCAAGAAACTATTGCCAACAGCCAGATCACTACTACAACCTCGAGTGATGTATCCTGAAAGGGACACTAAGCTCTTAAGAAAGCGTCAAACTGAGACAGCCAACTACTACAATCGCGGTGAGAGGAGCCTGTCAGAGCTGTCCGACAGCGACGTCGTTCACATGAAACCATTTCGCTTAGGTGATAAGGAATGGAGAAAGGCAACCGTAACTAGTCGTTTGGATGAAAGATCATACACGGTAGAAACGCCAGAAGGAGACACATACCGCCGTAACAGGGTACATCTTAAGAAGACTCAAAGAGACGCCATCAGAACCAACGGACAACAAGGACAGCAACGAACACGGAGGTGCAGAGAAAAAAGATATGTCACCCGCACCTGGTTCTCCAAAACCCACAGGAAAAACAGCCGGAGCCAGTGAAAATTAGAAGGAATCCTCTCCTACAAGGAACATGACCACACCTCAAAACTCAAGACCACAGCGAACCAGGAGTTCTCCCGCATACCTACAAGACTATGTCCGCACTAAAGGACAGTTATCATTGAAGGACAGACCATAGCAAAGAAAAAAAAGGAAAGCAATTATTAAGGCATGATTCATGAGATAAGAGATAGTTTAGCTGATTAAGGCACGATTTGCTTTAGTGTCACGAACATTGAACTTGAATTAATCACGGACTCGATTAATTGTTGATTAGACGCTTTGACTAGTCAAAAAGGGAAGGATGTTACAATATGTTATCAATAGATCAATAGTTTAGGGTTTCACATAATTATGTAAACTACATGGCGTCTTGTTCACTGTATTTCGGTCCCATCTAGTACCGTACAAAGATTATTGAAACAAGATCCAAGTTCAAAATGTCAAAGCAGAAGCATATTAGAGCACCTTTAATCTAATGCCATGAATTGAGGCTGTCACAAAAGTTGCCTTAATTTTTATTACTGCATGTACGACTGGATAATAAAAGCAAACAAATCTTAGATTGAAATGCTCACTTTGCAACCCCCTGAGGCAGGTGGTGCTCTACAAACAAGTATGATCAATATTTTTGCTATTGTGTGGCAAGGTTGACAAATCAGTGTTAATAACGTCGGCCCCTAACCTTTTAGTTGATGAATGACCCTTCTTCCTGGTAAGAGCATTGTATACAGGAATACTAATATCATATCCAGGTCTGAAGCTCCAAATGGCAAATCCACCACCAGCCACGATTGCCTTATCAGTTGCAATATCCAGTGATGAGTTATAATCAGGGGGGCTGCCAGGTAACATGTTAAACAGCAAGTGATTTTTGCCCCCATCTTTCCAACTACAAGGATAAAAAAATCTGTCTAAACACTATTGCAAATAAAATAAGTGCTAACATCCTATGGATGTTAGGATGTTATCCTTGGGTACCATTTCGTTTACTCTTTTGACTCACATTTAGATTAAGCATAATTATTGCTAAAAAAGAAATTTAATAGATACTGGTAATGATAAAAGCCAGCCATCTCTGATCTCCTCACTCCTTGCCACTAGAGACTATTATTTTGCAGGAGTGACATCTACACCTTCATGACACAAAATCCACACTGATGACATACAAAATCAATATTTACATAATTAATCTGGTAGTCATGGGGATCGAAATGTAAATTCGTTTGAGTTTATGTTTCTCCTGGTCTATTACGGTTAAGTTTTGATTTCTTCTTTGAACGAGTGGCAAGCAAAACTCAAATGCTTTTTCTAAAGAAGAATTTACACGCATTTCAAAAATAACAGTAGATTCATCACGTTTACATTTGTGACCGTGAACGGGAAAACGTACCTTAACGCTTATCCGTTAGACAAGCAAAAGCGTTAGGCATCCGTTAGTCATCCGTTAGAAAGTTTTCTTAAGAACGTTAGAGGCGTTAGCCCAGCCGTTAGACGTTAGCATGAGGCCGTTAGAACGGACAGTGCAACCGTTAGCAAGAGGCATGTATCCGTTAGCCGTTAGCATCAGACCGTTAGACGGGTCAGCATAACCGTTTGCAAAAACTCTGCATCCGTTAGCACGGCTAGAGAATCCGTTAGGATCCGTTAGAATAAACTAGCATCCGTTCAACGGCCTTCATACTATAATTATTATACACGATCCAAAACAAACCACGTTTGCCGAGAAGTAAAATCATAACAACGATCGACATTATATGAACTGTTTATTTATTCGGCAAAGTCCGGTTATTTCGAGAGCTTGTATTTTGTACTGTAATTTCTGACGAAAGGAAAGTTAAAAATATCTTATAAATGCCATAAACGGATAAAACAAACACGGGGAAAGCTCGACCAAAATGGCCATTGCGATAAATAAAAGGTCTGCGAAGTAAACACTGATCACAAAGTCATGTCAAGAACTTTGTGCTCGTGTTTCGTCACGCAACAATGGTTGTTAAAATGCTAATTTGTGGCGATTGCTACGACCTGCGAGGTGGGATCCCAAATGATCAATAATCTTCTTCCGTTCCCTTTAATCGCTATTTGCAATCATTAAAATAATTAAGTGGTCTTTGTCGTTCGAACTGAAGTAGAATAATATAATTTGGTTTCAATTCACAAAGTGCGGACCGTTCAAAAATTTGCATAAAGTTGTTTACATCTTCCAAGATGTGAGAAACGGCCATATTCCGGCGGAAAGGTTGATGAATATTTTGATAGACTTTCGTCTAACTCTGAATCAGACGAAACTAATTTTAAACTACATGCATGTGACGAAAACAACTTTATCTGGTGAAACCAGCGCCAACACGTCGTCGCTTCGAGACTGACTTCGTGACTTCAAAAGGCAGCGCTTTTCGCATGCTCGGTCAAGATAGAAAGCGTAATCTTTCGCGAATCCACGGCTGGCCCGGGTAAAACAGTTACTTTAGAAAAACTCTTGACAGAGTCATGGTGTAAAAATAAGTACAAGCGACAAATCCATTTGAGTAAAACAATAAAAAATGTTCACCACGACTGGCGATTAAAATTGTTTACGCACAGGTTTTAGCGACGTTAGGTTTGCTTCTCACACGATAATAAAGGACTCGAATTCTGAGTTCTGAGTTCTCTGTTGCCTTTTATCTTTTGTCTGTCATGGTAAATAGCTAAAATAATAACTAAGATAGTACACGCTCTCTGATTGGCTGAGGTGTGTTTGCATGACAATATGTAAACAAAGTCGTGAGGTCAAGATGTTATGCTTAAATTTGCGTGCTAATCAGGCAAGCATCTGGGTTTACTTTATTTACCCATTCCCTTGCTGGCTGAAACTTGGAAAATCTTTACCATCAATGCTGTGTCAATTTTTTCCACTTAAGCTGACATTTTAAGCGAGAACAAGAATGCTGTTAAAAAAGCGTTAAATAAGTCTTGCTTGGTTGGAGATTAGAAAAGAAATGAGAAGGCAACTAATTGATATATGTCATAGGACTATATGCTGTCCAATTTGGAAATGATTCGATGAAAAAAATTCCAAGGAAAGCCAATTTTTTTAATTCAGTTATCTCCAAATTGGACAAGCGTGACATAGCTGGTTAATTAATCAAATTGTATCGCATTTTCTGGCATTTGGTCGACTCAGATCCTACACTGTTTCTTTTTTAATTTGGACAGTTTGCTTATTTCTAAAGGAAAGTCCTGTCTGAAACTATCCAAATTAATCATTAATTGGACAGTTTATTGCGGAGCTCTCGCGCGTGCTAGCGCGCCAGCGGAGTACAATGGGTAAGAAAATTTGGTAAACTATCCATCCGAGAAAATTTGGTTGTGACGTAGCATACGAACACCAACCGTCTGTACACCCACTTCATGTAAGCCGGTGCCAAATGTCAGGTTATTTTCGTGGGAAAGCGTATGGCCACCCACGTCTTTCGAAGCAGAGACAGCTAAAGAGTCAAAAACGGAAAGCGGAAAATGTTTTTGTATCCTGTTGTCTAAAGTGTTAGGTGTAGATTAATTGTCATGTCCCCAAATTTGGAAAATAGAGAAAGAGAAAGACAGAGAAAAAGAGAAAGTAAGGCGACAGGCCAGCAAAGCTGAATGAGAAAAAGAGCTAGAGTGAGATAGAAAAAACAAAGGAGACATTTTTTGTTGGAGGAACAACATGAAATTTTGTAGCAGCAGTGAGAAAATAAGAAATGCTAGCGGCCACCTGGGTGAAAATGAGCGACAGTGAAAAAAAAGTGAACAAGAACATGTATGACATTTCCTCCATAAAACGTGCAGCCAGGAAGTTTCTGGAAGTTTCTTGTTGTAGTCTTACAAAACAACGGCAAAGAAATGTACAAAAATAGTGTGCTGCACGTGCAAACTTGCTTTTTTGCTAATTAGACATATTGTTGTTTTTTCACTGTTCTCGTTGCATTCGCCGCTTTGCATTTCGCGATTTTACCTTTTGTTTGAGCAAACTATAAATCTTATCGAGAGCTTCGCTTTTAGCCCTGGCTAAATCTATATATTAACAATATGACAAAATCGGATTAACTAACAGCTATTATAATAATACACAAAACAGGATTTCCTCACTAAAAGTTTGTCACCTCCTACTTCATCGATGGTCGAGTATTCTTCAGGATGTTTACTTTTTATATTGTATTCAACAATGATTGAGAATGCGTGTATAAATTCACGAAAATCAATTTGAGAGAAATAACATCATTGCCAGAGACCAAAAACGTGATGAACATGGCATGTCATTTCAAACTTGCTTTTTTGCTAATTAGACATATTGTTGTTTTTTCACTGTTCTCGTTGCATTCGCCGCTTTGCATTTCGCGATTTTACCTTTTGTTTGAGCAAACTATAAATCTTATCGAGAGCTTCGCTTTTAGCCCTGGCTAAATCTATATATTAACAATATGACAAAATCGGATTAACTAACAGCTATTATAATAATACACAAAACAGGATTTCCTCACTAAAAGTTTGTCACCTCCTACTTCATCGATGGTCGAGTATTCTTCAGGATGTTTACTTTTTATATTGTATTCAACAATGATTGAGAACGCGTGTATAAATTCACGAAAATCAATTTGAGAGAAATAACATCATTGCCAGAGACCAAAAACGTGATGAACATGGCATGTCATTTCAATCATTGGCAAAACTGAACTGCATGCTCCTTACAAGACTCATTTACATACAATGAAAGTTTACAACACCCAACCAGTTTATAGCCTCACCATCAAAGTTTTCAGTGAAGTATTCACTTGTGCCAAAGTAATCAACGCTTTAAGGTGATAGAATTCGTGGACCGACCCATTCCGGAAAGGCTCAACACCTTTTGCATCAATCTTTCTTAAGCTTTCTTGACAAAATAAAGCAATGGTGCTGTGACACATCACGATTTGTATCCCCAGTTTCCACAGTCGTCGCTAGGAATGCCTGGGACCATGATTCCCTTTTGGCAAGTACACATACACACACACACACACACACAAGAAGCGCTTGCATTTTCTGAGTCTTGCAGCTAAAATAACTCTTACGTGCTCCTGACCAGGTTCCAGAAATCAGTATGGAATGTCTGTCACTGAGGTGCAGATGTGTTTCCTGCAAAGTGTCCCTAGCGGTGCAGAGTGGGAAACATGGCTGTATTTGCAGGCTACCATAAGAGCTAGTTTTAGGTCTTTTTAAAGGCTTAGCCTAAACTAGCTACATAATTAAATGTTTCAAGGTCAACATTTAAATGTGCCCTCCCTTTGTTACAAAACTATTTCTGCACACAAGCATGTAAATGACTGCTGACAATATTACCTTGTTGAATGGTGATTAAAATAAATTCTTTTGTGAATAACATCACAGGCAGACCTTCTGAACTGTTTGAGGCATTGTCATGGCTGTTACGAAATACAGTAAATGGATGAGATCACGTCGCGCATGACATCACCATCTCTCAAACAGTTTGGCCAGGGGGATGGGTAGTTTTGGAATTGACTGGTACATTAATCTTCTGGGCAAAACTTGAACCCTGGTTACATTTGGAGCAATATCTGCAGTTTCAATTACCATTACAGTGAAACCTCTATAAACAGACCCCCATTTAAGCAGACACCCTCTATTAAACGGACACTAAGCAGGGTCCCGAAATTAACATCTTATATTTCCCTTTATAATGAACCGCTATTCAGCGGACACCTCTATTAAGCGGATGTGGACACTAAAATAAGGTGTATTTGGCTAATTTCTATTGTTAATAACCTCTATTAAGCAGACACCGGACAATAGTAGTATTGGAATATGTTCTTGAAATACGGACTGAAGTCAGTTAATGTTTTTGCATTTAAAACAAATTAAAGTTTGTAATGAAAGGTAATGAACTTGAACTCTGGATAGCTTCTTTAACAACATGCAATTTTATCACAGTACAGAGTAACCGTTGAACGCTGATCGTTAACAAACATTGCACAATTTTTACAACCTCCATTAAGCGGCCACCCTCTATTACGCGGACACTTGGGAGGGTCCCGAAGGTGTCCGCTTAATAGAGGTTTCACTGTATCTTTGTTTCACTTACATGTATTATCAGTATATGCGGAGTGAAACTTACCTGGGTAGCCCAGAAAGAATTCTGGCGATGCCTTTGACGTCTAGACCATTTTGGTTCAAGGTGTCTATCGAAGGAATTATAATACAGGCACTATTCATATCAGAAGTGTAGTACTTGCTGTTTACTATGGCTGCGAGAAGTTCATAAAATTCCTGAGACATTTCCTGGTTGACAGCATGCCCATTCTCGTCCAAAAAGCGGGTGTAAGGATACACATAGACAGATATAAGTTTATTTTCATTCACTGCACATCGAAATACGTCAAAACAGCTATGCATCAGACACTTAGTGTCCCTCTTTTTGGCAAGCGGTGTCTCCGCTTTTACGGCAACTTCGACCAAGTTGTCGTCCAAAGGAGACGGGTTGACTTCTTTTTTATCATCGGAAAACGGAAGAATGGACCATAACTCCAAAGCAAAGAAAATAAATACTCCAGAAAAAAGAAGGCCTACTAACAGAACACTTCTTGTCTGCAATCTCATCTTAAAGGCTAAGCGGTACTTCGAAAATCAATATGAAACAAAACGCTGTAAGAACAAAGCTTCGGAATTTTATGCATTATCTTGCATACGTGTCAACAAAGTTCTCTTATCCATGATTACCGTAAAGAGGCAAAGTCACCGGTAGTTGAGAAATCTCAGTTTCAAAAGCACAAGCCAGATAATTCCACAGCTTATTGATAAGCAAATGAATATGTGTAAGAACGTATCAATATGTCGGAAGACGCCGGAAAGTGTCAGGCAGCGAAAATTTGAGGACAAAGTGCGGTTCTTACATACAGTATATTAAATTGCCGCTATTATTGCCGCTGATGACAAACACTTTTTTAATTTTACCCATGATTCACGACGATCTGGAGAAAAACAATATTCAAGCGGCGAGCAAACTTCGCTGATACATGGTTCTTAGTCACATGAATTTCTGCCTCGTCATCTACATTTGTTCTGAAAATCCAGTATGTGGATCCTTCGCCACGTTCTTTTCCTGTTATGTGAGTGTAGAATATGTTTCCTTGAAAACATACGCATGATTTTCTCGATTCCTCTGATATTTGTCGAACAGGAACTTTTTGTGTACTATCGTTTAGCTCCTGTTTTTAAGCTTTAAATATACAAGTAAGCTACTCGTGATGTACCTTATAGCTCTGGCCAGGTTTCTCAGAAGGCAAAGGAATATTTTGTGGTATCGATGATCCCTTGTTTTGCGATGTGTTTATGCTTTAATGTGAACGTCCTGTAGACTATTGTTGTTTTCTTCGATCGAAATGCTTCCGTTCAACCATTGTTACGTCCAAAACTTTTTTTGCCCGACTTGTCTTGAATGTTGAAGACGATGAGTCACGATTGCCATGCATTTCTGGTCTTGTTGTTTTCTGTGGGGTCGAATGAGGTTGTTGGAGATAGCGATGGATTTCAAAACATATCGAATCCGAAGGTTCCGGTCCAACACAGTCTCTAGCTAGCCTATTCTTTTCATTTTTTAAATTGATATTCTCGATGCGTCTTAGTTATTTCATATAAGCTCCATTATGTCCTCTGTCTTGATGCACAGAGCACAAAGTTCTTGATACCTGTCTTTTTTATAATAACATTATTCTAGCTATCATGCTCTTTACTTCAAATAATCTTTCACTGGTCCCAGCTTGTAGGAAGGAATGGTTTGAATTATTTATCAGGTTGAGCTGATTGTTTGTTTCGTGACATTTATAATTCAACTACTGCTACAGACTTATTTAAGTCAATTTAACTGTTTCACTTGACAGTGAACTATGATCTTGTTGATAAAATCAGGTTGTCATTTCATTTCTCTACCTTGTTTATATGTACAGTGTACATCACTTTCAATAATTCCCTTAACTATTTTTATGCAGCTATGAGTATTCATGTTAGAAAATCTTCATCCAAGAGTTCGGATATGACAAAGATATATTTTATTTTGCTTTACAAAACTCTTGCAAAATGCACAAATCCTGTGCGCTTGTTGAGCTTGAAATACATTTTATGGAAATTATATGGCTTTTGGATTCAATCACAATACCAGTATATCATGAGTAGTGTCTTGCATTATTACAGAACTGTTACAGTCAAACCAAGTCAAGCGTACCCCCCAAGATTCTATCAGTGAATTGATTATTTGAAAAATGAATCCGTTAGTCGTTCCCGTAACTGGTGTCAAATTCAAAGCGGCATTTCTGCATGCGTAATGAGCAGTGAATATTTTACGAGAACTTCTCTGTATTTGGTCAGATTGGAAATCTTTGAATGAATTAAGCTTCTTAGAAGACATTTACATCAATTTCAGGAAAATGGGGCTGGTAGAAATTTCATAACTGCCTCGCATGTGAATTCACGGCTCATTACACATACAAGAATGCAGACATCAATCTGAAATCTACAACTATCAATGGATTCAACTTTTGAATAATAAATTCATTAATGGATTCTTTGGGGGTACGCTTGACCTGGTTTGTCTGTAATTCATTTCTGTTTTATTTTGATATTGACAAAAATGTTGGTAACCTGGTAACAATGAATATAATTCAGCTTGTAATGTTCCAGGTAAGGAGGTCCAAAATGTGATGTGTTACTGTATAAGAGTTGGATAAGAATCATTTTTATATATTTATTGTAAATTGTAGTAATCAACACAGGAGGCTTCAACAAAGGAAATTGTGTAAAATAATATTACAAGTCCCATCGTAGTGCTAGTTGCACAAAAACTCAACACCAGTCATCTTTAGCAATTATTGAATGAAGCTATGATCTGAAGAATTTTGCAGATTGAGAGAGGTGTTATCTCAGCAGATAACCCTCCTCAGAATGTATAATATTTTAGATCATACCAAAGGACTTTTTCATTCAAAATAATTCATAATTTAAAAAAAAAAAAAACTAGCTAAAACAGCCTTAGCTCAATCAAATGTAGTCTACAAGATATTCTTCAAATAGCAGTTGTCAGTTGTCTATTCTTGCTATGTTTTTAGGCAAGTAGGGTGGCTATTTCTTCTATGCAAAATATATGAAATTTTCTCTGTTATTTTTCTCTAGCTCTACCAAAACTGCTCAGCTATTGCAATCCCATCCCCAGGGCTTCTTGGTTGCTGTACCTTTTTCTTTTGTTATCCTGCACCAATGATGTCATTTTATTGAATATCACAAATGTCCAAATTTAGTCAGTGCAAGCTGGTTACAATGAAGAATTCCCCAGGGGATTTGTTATAATTATTCTGCTGAGTAAGTAATAAGTATGGTAGTTTAATCTGAATTTGGGCATTATTCTTCTTATCGTCGAGCCTGGAAAATGACAATACCTTGGTGAAACCTGCGTCAACCAGACCCCATTGTAAATGAAACCCTGTATTAACTCAAAAGCTACTTCAGCACTCACTAGAAAAACTGCACGAAACGGTGGTGGCCATGAGGGCCAACTCTTGAGTTTGTTGTTTCTGTGTCCCTTTCAACTATATCAACTATACTTTATTTTCATACACATCAATTTGCCATGCATCTCGGCCCACAAATAGCAAAAGCTAGACGAGGTGGGCAGAGAGGAAAGGTTACAGCAGTCATATCAGATGATATTGTAAAGTGACTAAATAAACTACGTGGATAAATAAGAATTACAGAAAAACAAGCTAAAGTTACAAAATATATAGTCTTACAGAATGATATTACAAGACAAATTTACTACTAACAGAACCGATCAATTATTAGTGCCTTGAGGATGCAGAATTTGCCATTTTTTCTAGGAGAATGGGCACTTCAAAATAATCTTCCTCTGCTTCCATTATTGAGAGCAAAGAGTCATGAGACTTTTTTTAAAATCTCTTTGGAGAGTTGACGAAATTCGTTAGGAATTGTGTTCCAAAGTTTAGCTCCAAACCTGGAAAAAGAATCTTGATTTAGATTCAGTGTTGAAGTTTGGACATAACGTTCACTAAAGTACTTAAGTATTCAAAATCTTAAGAAACTCTAGAATGATCAGATCATTTTATTTTACTTTGTAAAAACAAAGGAGCACTATGCATATGAAAAAGTCCTTCAGAAGAGGTTTAATGTGAAGTACATGTATTCAGTCACATAGTCAACGTCATCATTGTACTTTGAGGGTAATATTTTCATGGGCAAGTCATGGTACATCACATCCATGTTAACTTGATGAGTTATTAGGAAATATAAGAACCTCTTGAACTCACTTGTATTATTCATAATTTGTTTTCTCTTACAGCTGTTGTTAAGTTCATAGAAGCACAGAGTCCAACAAAAAATCCAGAATGTGAAGGCATGATCAGAGCTGCTAGGCATATGAAAACAGCAATCAAGGGTGCCCTCTCCAAAGATGCCCACTGTAATCCAAACCCACACTGTACAGGTGTTTATTTAACAAATTTTACAATTCAAATGTTCTTTTGCATGCCACTTACATGGCTGGAAAAAAATTGAAATCTACTTGCCTAATGGGCAAGTAAACTTCAGTTTTCACTTGCCCCCAGATAAATATTAGACTGATTTAGCAACAGGACGGGAACGTCAGTTGATGACGGGAAAGTGCGCGGCTTGACTTCCAGTGTCCAATTTGTCGCTCTGCCATTGGTCAAGCCAGTTGTTTCATTTGTGTGCGCCGTCGTTCTCATTCTGTAGCTAAATCAGCCTATTACTTGCTCAAAGGGAGCTCAATGCCTTATATTATTCAGTTTATCATGCAATAAGAAAACCACATCATTAGTTAATGTTAAAAAATTCCCGTAGCTATTTGAGTTGATTGTCATATGAAAACACGGAAGAGACCCCTCTTAACCCAAGCAATTCTCACAGATATACTGCTCATGACGAAACAACAACAACAACAAGCTTTATTTACATTTTGCTTTAGAATAATTATAGTTACAGAAGGTAGTTTTAGTTTAACGGTCCGTTATATACAGTGTAATAAAAGGAAAACTAAAAATACATTACATGTAAGGAAATGCCTAGCATCTAAATAAACCGTTAGGTTTCTGAGTTAGATGATAACGCCAAAGTAAAGATGTTCTTAACTGACACTCAGTCTGGGTATGTTTGCAGTATGTTCAGTTAAAATTTTCGCTTATCTCAGCCTGAACGTTCATATAAACGGGTTCTTATAAAAAAGAATCATAATTTACCCTGAGTGTGCCATGAGACTGTTTTCAAACGAAAGGAAATTGGTTCTGTGGGATGCCGCAGGTTTGTTTTTTTCTTGTGGTAGTCACAAACTGCAGTCTCTTAGGGCTGGTTATTTAAAATAGTTTTAAACAAAGTCTAACTTGGTGGCTTAAGACAATCAGGAAACTTCCAAATTTGTTTATAACCAGTTTATTTTAAGCAGATATTTATTTTGTGTGCACTATATGCCTTCTTGACGCTGCTCATGATAAACAATTTAGTTATGTGTGGAATTAATCAAATTCTATATGGCTTAGAATGTGGTTCTGTTGTACACTGGCTAAACTCTGTTTGAAAAACCCACCCTAAGTTTTTAGCAAGCCCACAATTCCTTTATTTTATAGAGGAAAAAAATTTTAAAAAATGTCCCTTTCTGAGGTTTGTGCTCGAACTTTTAGTTTTAATTCTACCAGCTTTTCTGGGCACAGGCCTGCCCAGAGGGAATGGGCATGAACGGGACTCATAGGTGCCATCCCATGCAAGGTTCCATCCCTACCCAATCCCATGATGGTCTTTTGGTTTTGTAAAATGGACTGCAAATAGGAAAATTGAGTAGAGCAAATTGTGACGGAAAGACAAAAACTCTCACACAAATTCAAGGAGTTTCAAGTCCTACAAAGGACTTGAAATCTCATCTTCATGGGTCATACAAACAAAATGAGAAGGTTTAAAGTCTATCATGTCAAGTTTCCTCACATTGTAAAAGAACTAGAGGTGAGGACTGTTCAGTTCCTTGGCAGGGATTGTATTTAATGGACATTGTTGTTTCTTTCACGGATTTTCCCCATCACCATCTCTATCACACAACTTCAGGTCTGTTTTCTTCTCTGTTGTATCTTGAGCTGAAAAAGTTTGTATGTTCTATCTATTTTTAATAAATGTTGAAATTTCGTTTTTGTTCAGGCGATTTTAGTCCAGAAATTCAGTTTTATTTAAGCTTACAATTTGGCTCTTATTCCATTATTTTCCCCAGAAAACTGCATTTTCTGCCTGCATGTGCGACATTTAATTTGTAGACTGAAACCAGTCAAACCAGGCTTCTGGAGTAGAAATACCGTGAGATGTTTGTACTTGTTTTTAGCATTATTCGTACTCTACTGAGTGAAGTTGAATAATAATTCGCAATTATTGGACGAGGTTGAGCAAAATATCGTGATTTGTCAGTGGCGAGCAGATTATTTGCCGAAACAAAAGGCTGAGGCAAATAATTGATCTGCGAAACACCAACAAATCACGATATTTTGCGATAGCTGAGTTCAATGATTGTATTATCATTCGATCACCGAGTTTGTTTTTTAAGGAATATCTTCAGGAAGCGAAGCGATCTGCCATTTTCATACAAGAGCGATCGCAAGAAGGAGAAAAGTGTGGTTTCATTTATGCATGAGCAGAATAGTATTTGCAGCCAAAAACAGTTGAACAACATTGCGCATGAACACACCATTATTTGTAGGCAGTTATTTGCAGGTCACGTGGTGGGCTCTCGGCCAATGAAAAGGAAGAAACATTTGCATCGAATGATAGTACTACTTATTGTACATGTTTTAAAAGGAGGTTACAAGACGGTGCTCTTACTGGTCTAGCTTTTTAATGTAGTTGAAGTTAAAGATGCACATGTACCGGTACCTTCACTGTCCAAAATTTCAAATAAATCCTAACGAGAACACGTCCATTGAAAGACGTAGCCTGCATGTGACAAGTGGGGAATGAATAGCCAAATGTTGTGGGTATGTGAGCAAGAACATCACCCAGGAAATGGACATACACAGAGTATTTCTTGACTGATGCTCTCCAAATCATTTTCACTTATTTGCATTAATTTTTCCTTGCATCATTTTTTCAGTGGGTGCGTTTCTGTAATGTCCTTTTGAAAAGTCACTTAATTACATATAGTTATATAGTTACAGACTAGGTCTTAGCCTTTTCCTGTCTTTGGTCACATATAAAAAGTATCTTGTTTTCCTAAAAGGTTTTAATTTGGTATTTAGACACAAGTTTTCACAGTGTTCCAAATATGCTCACGAAAAGTTTGCCAGGCTGGTAAAGTAGGAAATGAAACAAGTTTTTGACCGACTACAGTGCAACAAAACTTATACACTGTATCTGGATATGTCATCTCTCAGTAACAACCGGACAAAATCATTTTTCGGTATATGGTATTCTGTTTCAAGGCAATTTCAGGTCTTCGGTATCAAAGAATTTACAACTTTTAGGTATACTGGTATCTAGGGAGGAACAAGTCAGATATATTGGCATCCCACTACCCTCCTACCGGCTGGGCCTGACTTTTGTATGTGATGTGAACCAGTTGATGAAACCCATATTATGACACCAAAATACTGTATACGTGAATGAAAAAGACCCTGGATACCCAAATACCCAAAACCTCTGGCTGGACCTGAAAAGTACAGAAGTAGGAGTTCCCATAAAAGTTGCAAGCTTAACCCATTGATTTCCAGGGCTTTTTACATACAAACAATCCATAGGATTTTGTGACTCTGTATTTAGAGTTACCATTGAAAGTGGTGCTGTTCTGATAAACTGAAGGCTCGAGTTTTCTGGAAATGTCATTCTGACATAGTCATTTTGCTTCACTACATACATATATACATACATACACGTTATTGATGCTCCCTAAGTGGGCTTTTCAGCTCAATAGAATAAAAAATACAAATTTATATAAATTAATTAAGAATGTAAGTACAATAATATTATAATTACAAAAAAATATATCAACTTAATAAAACATTTGCAAGATGACGCCTAAAATTCCTGGGGCATTTTAAGGACTTAATATTATCATTCAAGGAGTTCCAGAGTTTGGCTCCTCTGAAAGCAAAGGAGCGTCGCCCTGTTGACAGGCGACATAAAGGTATATCCAAAGCACCAGATGATCGAGTTTGTCTATTATTGACTTGAGAACGTGATTTAAACATATCAGCAAGATAGTCTGGAACAAGCTTGTTAATACATTTGTGCATCATAGTAGCGTCATTTAGAATGAGTTTCTCTCTAATAGGAAGCCATTTCAACGATCGCAACCCATCCAAAATATGGTCATACTTTCTTAGTCCCAGAATAATTCGTCCAGCAAAGTTTTGGACTTTTTGTAACTTGTCAATATTGCTGCTGCTGGTATTATTCCAGACAGTTGAACAATATTGGAGTTTACTAAAGACAAATGAATTTATTACTAACAAAAGTGTTTTCCTATCCAGGAGATGTATGATTCTGTTAATTTGGTACAATTTGAGGCAGTCTCAGTGATATGTTGGTTATAACTGAGGCGTGTGTCGAGAAGAACACCCAAGTCCTTAACGACAGGCACAGGTGTTATTTCCTTGTCAAAAAGTGTTATACTGAACGATGACAGTTTCTTTAAAAGTTGTGGTAATCCAACAGCTAGAACCTTAGTTTTGTCCGGATTAATCAAAAGAGAGTTTTTACAGCACCACTGAGATATTCTCGTAAGATCTTCGTTTAAGGCGAGGATGGACGTGGGTAATTCAGCAGGTGAAAAGGACAAATACAATTTACAGTCATCAACATAGGAGGCAGATAGACAACGTTTAGTAACAGAAAGGAGGTCGTTAACATAGATTGTAAACAAAACCGGACCTTGCGGAACTCCGAACTCAAGTGGGAGTACTTTAGAAACTGCGTCACCAATTCAAACGCACTGTTGTCGGTTAGAAAGGTAACTCTGAAACCAATCCAACGCACCCTGGGAAAAATCGAGATATTGTAGCTTGGATAACAAGATGTCGTGTCGAATATTATCAAATGCTTTAGACATATCTAATAAGACCATGATGGAAACTTTCTTGCTATCCATCGCCTGGAGCAACTGATCCATAATGTACAACAGAGCTGTTTCTGTCGAGTGAAGCTTTCTATTTCCGCTCTGATGTGCTGCCAGTTTATTATTTCTAATTAGATGCTCCATAAGTTGTCCATGTACCAACCTTTCAGTGACTTTTGAGACTATTGGTAATAATGAGATGGGGCGATAGTTGTTAGGGACATCTGGGTTACCGCATTTGAGAATAGGTGTAACCTCTGCTGTTTTCCATGCACGTGCAAATATGTTGGTAACAAAAGAGTTATTCACAATGTGCGTAATTGTTGTTAGCGTACTGGGTAAACTGTCTTTAAGAATTCTAGAAGATATCTTGTCCATTCCCGGAGCTTTGTTAGATGGTAGGCTTCTAATCACCCTTTCTACCTGATTTTCTGTGACTTGATGGAGCACAAATAATTCGGGGCTAACGTCGGTGGATATGTGTAAAGGAGTCGGCACATCCGAATTTACGTTAAGTCCATGATGTAAAGATAAGTCCCTGGCTTTTTGAGCAGTAATACTGCCGACGGAAGTGAAGAAATCATTTAATTCGTTAGCTAACCCAGTGGGATTCTCAGAAGCCATAAAACTATCTTGTTGTTTACGTGGTAGACACCGGTTAATGATTTTCCAAATTGAGTTAGAATTTCCATTGCTATCCAGGATCTGAGTCCTGACGTGAACTTTTGAGCTGTAATAACAGCTGAAGCCCGGGGAGGAGACTCCCATATGAAAGGGGCGGGGATGCTCGTCGTCTCGCTTAGGGGTGTAAATTTTTGGTCTCACTTGGGTGTTCTGGGCAAAACACCATTATATTTAGCTGTAAAGGTCTCTTTTAGGGTTGCACTCAAAGAAATATTAAAAAATCATATATTGTCAATTCATTTTATTTACTCGATTCATGCAATCAAAGTTTAAAATGATGGCTTTTAGGGGTCAAAAAAGGCTGGGCCACACCCAGATTGGGTATGATGAGAGAATAAATTAAAGATACATAAGCTTGAAAATTGGAAAGTAGATGTACAACATCATGAGAAAACAGTCAGGGCAGGTGTCAAGTATTTGACTAGACTTTCCTATAAAGCTCACCATGATATTATACTGTACAGTTGTAGTTGCCAACCAATACAAGTTGATTATTATTAGGAAATACTAGTAAATGTCACTTTGTGCGGATCTACATGTGTAGTTACTAAATTTTAAGTTGTCAAACCTTGAAACTCGACACTGCTTTGCAAGATCAGGCACTCTATAAAGTTATCTAACATTGTTCCTGTTTTTGTCTTTCTGATAGGGGTAATATGTTCTTGGTCAGATGGAGGTTTTCTAGAAGTCGATCTGCGCCACTGTCAGCATCCAGTCGCCTATCATGTTTTACTCACATACCCTGCATTTCATATTTCCAAAGCTAGTCTTAATCTAACCCAGGGGGATGAGAAGACACTGTTTAAACATGAGCTTGCCACCATAAAGATTAAAGTGACTAAGCTGGAACGTAAAGAAAATGTAGTCACAACAACAGTAAGTGGAATACCTAACAACTCTTTTCCAGCCACAATATTAATTTTTCACAAAAATTAAGAGTCATTCTCTCTTAGGGGCTGTTCTTGTCTTTCTGGGCTTCTGTCCAAAAGAATACATGTAAGCTCTGATGACAGATCATTCTTCTCCACAGAGATATTTACTGACATTATTGTTTCCTTATGAGACTCATAAACATTCATTCTTTTTAAGATGTATACCACATTTCACTGATTGAAGGTAGTGTGATTCACACACTTCATATTGGCAGGTTTCCTGTAGATGGTGGTAAAGGCAGTTGCCTGGTTTCCTAGAAACTGGCGCGTCAGAAAGGCAATCTTGTCATTCTTTGTCTCTGTGGTAAAATGTATGGATGGCTGGTGGCTATTGAGGTGTTGTGAGGAGCTGTCAATACTTTCCAGGTTCAGAAATTGGGACCAGCTGGTTGCGAATGTGCCTAGAAATTGAGATCTGGTGACCACAACTTAAAGACTAGTTGTCAGCAGGCAACTAAATAAGTTTTGAACGGCCATCCAAGCCATTTCATTTTTGTTCAAACTTTACTTACATTTTATCTTGCCAACGGTCTCATGTCCAGAACAGTTGCATGGCCCTTTTTATGTGGCCATTATAATTATTGTTTAGAGCAGTTACCGTACCTGTGACCAACATTACATTGTACCTTGGACACATTAAACACTGTATACACTCGTGCTTCCATGAATTCCTGCACTTTGCAAACTTTGCAAAAGCTCCTGTGGTGGAGATGGATGGGCAGTCAGGTGGACAGATGGGCAGTTGGGCAGATGGACAGTCACGTGACTACCAAAATTTTTTGGATGGGTAGAAAACCAAATTTTTTTAGCTATGAACACAATGGCCCGCAGTCCTAACCTCCAGGCCTGGGTTGTTCAAACACTGGAAAGCGCTATCCACAGAATAAACCACTCTCCAGCAGATAAGTGTCAGCAAAACTAATTGCGCTATTCAGTGAATAGAGATTTATCCAGTGGATAGCGTTATCCACCTTTTGAACAACTTGGGCCTAGTTTTTATTTATACATGCCAACTCTCCTGGATTATGTGGGAGTCTCCCAGATATGACGCCAATCTCCCAGTCTCCCATACAGGTAACCGAATCTCCCAGATAAAATCGAGTTATGAGCTCTTCTTTGCTTTAATTTGGAATTTATCCCATTTTCACCCAAAATTTGAATTTTCTTTGATTCATAGTTTGGTTTCTGGGGCATTTTTCCATGTATTTCATCACTGTTATGTAGTGTGTTATGTCACTCATCCGGGGCTCATTAAAACATGCTTTTTTACCATGCGCTCCCCTGGTTGAGGCGTTAAGTCATAACATGTTTTGAAACGGGATTTTCAAGCGCTGAAAATCGAGACATTCACCAAATGTATCACACAAATAGGATGTGAAAACCTCATTACCAACAAATTCATGGTCACGCCACTTTGAAGTCAGAACTATTTACCACCGTATGCGTAAACTAAAACATGTCTCAATCCATGATCCCTCCGCCATCAAAAATGGATATACGACAGGAGATCAAGCCTCAAATTGGGAATTCTTCAAAGATGGGGGGAAGAATTATGCTTCTGCTACCAAACTGGATCAGAAAGACAAGAAAATAGTCGCAGCCACATTATTATCAATCATGGATAAAGAATGCCTTCATGTCTGCAGAAATGGCAGGAAGTCAACGACTCAAAATGGAACAAACTGACACTGTTCATCTCGTCCATGGGAACGAAACCTGTGCTCACCGCACTGATGTACACAAGAATCCTTGCAAGATCAAGAACTGCAAATATTGCCTCCCACGCGGCTGGAAACTGCCCAGCCAAAACATGCACTAACTGTAACAAAAAAAATCATCTTGCAAAAGTCTGTCGCTCCACCCCCAAACAAAGTAATGAGAAACCAAAGAAGAAATCTAAAGATGAGTGCCAGCGAGTAAATCAGTTGAGTGAAAATGGTGCATTGGGTGAACCTGACAGCAACAAAAGCATCTACTCCCTGCAATCTCCTGGACAAAAGAAGCAGTACATTACAGAAATTCTCGTGACAGCGAACAAAACCAAAGACAACATTCCAATCAAATTTCAGGTTGACACAGGAGCCTCGTGTAGCACCATCACTTTAAAGGATTACAAGAAAATCACTCACGAAACACTGGAAAAGTCCAATGTCAAGCTCAAGTTGTATGATCAGTCCCTGATACAACCCACAGGCAGCACGAAACTCTATTGTACAGCTAGTGGCATGAGAAATTGTTGAGCATGCATCGACTTCTCTACTTTCAGGAAGAGCCTGTGAAGCCCTGAAGCTTTTTTACTTTAATGAAGAGTGTATCCTGCATGTTGACCTTACTAGCGATGAGTCACTAATCCCAAGAGAAAATCCTTCATAACTATTGTGACGTCTTTACAGGTCTTGGCAGACTACATGGTACTTATCATATAGATATGGACTCTAATGCCAAGCCTGTTCAAGAAAATCCAAGACGTGTGCCTATTCCAGTTAAAGATGAGCATAAAAGCAAGATCGAAGAGCTCGAGACCATGGGTGTTATTGTGCAAGTTACAGAACCAACCCCTGGATCAATAATATGGTTGCAGTAAGAAAGCTGAACAAACTCAGACTGTGTCTAGACCCCCTACATCTAAATAAAGGCATCATCAGAAACCATTATCCAATGCCCACTGTGGAGGATATCACACCTATGCTAACAAAAGCTAAAGTCTTCTCTGTTGTAGATGTCAAAGACGGATTCCTGCAAGTTGTCCTAGACGAACCGTCCAGCTACTTAACGACCTCTTGGACCCCCTTTCAGTCGTTATAGGTGGCTACAAGTGCCCTTCGGAATCAAATCTGCACCCGAAGAATTTCAAAGGCGGCTTGACGAATGCCTGGAAGGTCTGGAAAACATCTCAGTGAACCATGATGACATAGTTATCTTCGGATCTAGTGAGACCAGGGAAGAAGCCACTGCATCCCATGATGTAGCATTCAAAGTTCTCCTAGAGGGATGCAGAGAGTGAAGCCTAAAGCTGAACAAAAAGAAATTATGCTTCAAGCTCAGCAAAGTAGCATACGTGGGCCACATACTAGGGTCAGAAAGTCTTCGAGCTGACCCAGAGAACATCCAAGCCATACAGAACATGCCCTGTCCAACAGCCGTACATGGAGTCCAACCGCTGATAGGAGTAGATACCTACCTTTCCAAGTTCCTAGCATGGCTCAGCACTGTATGCGAACCCCTCTGTCGCCTAACAGATAGCAATTCTGTCTTTGATTGGTTACCTCAACATGAAGATGCCTTTGTCAGCATTAAGGAACTAATCACTCAAGCACCCGTTTTGCGTTATTTTTGATGTCAGCAAAGAAGTCACCATCAAGTGCGACAGCTCTTACGCCAGCCTTGGCGCTGTCCTCACCCAGGATGGACAACCAGGTGCTTATGCTTCTCGTGCACTAACTGAGACAGAAAGAAACTATTTGAAATCGAAAAAGAATGTTTAGCAATTGTCTTTGCGGCTGAACCATTTGAGCATTGCATTCTGGGCAAAGACACTGTCCAAGTATTGTCTGATCACAAGCCTCTTTTCAAAACCAATCCTCACAAGCCCCAAATGCCTTGAAAGGATGAGACTCTAACTACAGAAGTGCCCTCTAAAGTTATCGTACAAGCCTGGCCCTCAAATGTTCACAAGTGACACTCTGTTCCGAGCTGCTCTTCCCTTGCGTTATGCCAAACCAGACTCACCTGATTTTTCAAGTCAGCCAAGAAAAGAGTTTTTGCAAAGAAGTTGAAGAGACTAATCTGGAAGAAGTAGTCTTTGTCACAAACAAGCGCCTGGAGCAGATCCATCTAGAAACCAGCAAGGACATCTCACTTCGAACTTGGATGTTGCTGATTATGAGTGGATGGCCTGATGACAAGTTGAAGACTCCGCTCTGTGTACATGAATACTGGCCTTACAGAGATGAACTAACCACTCAGAACAGAATAGTGTATCGTGGAACAAGAATCATCATTCCAGCCTCGATCAGAAGAGAGATGACAGCCAGAGCCCATCGCTCACATTTGAGAATCCAGTACACAACCAGCTCTACTAGAGACATCATGTATTGGCCACGAATGACTGCTGATTTAACTGAAGCAGTTCAAAGATGTGACATCTGCCAGCATCAAAGACCTGTCCTCACAAAAGAGCCGTTAATGACCTACCTGATTCTAAACCTGCCTTGGCAAATTGTCACTAGTGATTGCTTTGAGTGTGATGGCAGCCATTATCTGATTGTAGTCGACCTCTACCCAGATTACACTGAGATAAAACAATTGAACTCTCTGTCCTCAGCCCCCTTGATTGAACAGCTCAAGCAGATCTTTGCCGTCCATGGAATTCCTATCACGTTCATCTCTGACAATGGTCCCAATTATGCCTCTGTGGAATTTACTGACTTTACTCACGACTGGGACATCCAACGTGTCACCTCCAGTCGCCATCACCCAAAGGCGAATGGCTAGGCTGAATCAGCAGTCAAGATAATGAAGTCCATTATCAGCAAAGCCAACAAACAGGAACAGATGTATGGAACGCTATCCTAGAATGGAGAAACTCACCCACTCCCTCTCAAGGCAGTTCCCCAGTCCAACGCCTTATGTCATGTTGAACAAGATCATTTCTACTTTGCCAGGAATCGCTGTACAAGCCTGAAGTCCAGTCTGCTGTAACAGCTCAAGTGATGCGGAAGACACAACCCGCCAAGCACTACCACGTCCAAAGTGCCAAACAGCTACCTAGTCTAGTAATTGGACAACCAGTCTGAGTCAAGGCACATCCTGAACAACCCCACAGCGATTGGAAGTCTGGAGTTATTCTACAGAATATAGCCCCTTGCAGTTACCTGGTGGAAGTGAATGGATGTACGTATTGCAGAAATCGTGTCCACCTACGTGATGCTGTCCAGTCCCAGACAGGCAGTCTGCCTGTTCAAGTACCTGACCTGGCTCAGACCCCAGGTCTGCCTGAGAACAAATGTGCTAACAATGATCATGACCCGGCTAGCAATCAGCCATTACTCAGGAAAGTCCCAGCAACATCCCTGTCGAGCAATACACCTCCAGCTAGCAGCAACTTGACTCAGACCAGATCTGGATGAATTGTGAAGCCCAACAACCTGTTTAAGGACTTTGTTCAGTGAGAGATTTAAGTATAGGACTGACTTAGGCAAGTTAGACTTGATTTGACTTGATTTTAGACTTGATTTGTTTTAAAAATCTTTCTTGCCGAAAGTTTTGTGTTCAGAAGTTAATTACGCATGTATCTTTTTTCTTGGAAGGAAGATGTTATGTAGTGTGTTATGTCACACATCCGGGACTCATTAAAAGTTATGTGCTTGTTTACCATGCACTCGCCTGGTTGAGACGCTAAGTCATAACAATCACTGACAAAGATTATTTCACCATTGAAATGTGATGGTCTTTGGACTTCCACTAAGAATGGAGTAGAATGCACAGAAGATCTTTTATCACATGTAATCTGATCACGTGTGTTTTGACCATCTATCATATGAAAACTTGCGCAAAGCAAAGCACTGGTGTAAAAGCATTTTGACCTTTGATCATTGTTGCCTGCACTCCTGTTACCTTTGATTATTACTACATGTAGTTATTAATCATGACGGTGATACTTTACGTGGACTGATTCTGTATGGTTAATTCATGATGTGGAAGTTCAGATTTTTTTTTTGATCTTCACTTTTATGATCTCCAACTTCATGTCCTGGTCTCATTTTGGATTATAGTTGTTTAATTATGGCCAATGCACACATAGCCTTGCGCCCTGTTATTTTATGCTCAGGGCTTGAAAAAAGTCCCATCAGGTAGTCTGGGACAAGTGAATTTCCTTACTGGGCAAATAACTTTTAAAGCTTACTTGCCCAATGGACCAGAGTTCTGGTCAGTCATTCTCTAACTAAATCACTAACTAAGTTGAGCAAGAAGTGGCCTCGGGTGTGCAAAATGTGTAAATGCTTGTCCAAGGGACAAGCTGGAATTCAATTTTTTTTTTTTCGAGCACTGATACAATACATTTTTTTTTTATTTTTAGGTTTCATTAGAAGTGTGTTTTCGAGTCGTGGGCTGTAAACCATATAACATCATGGAGAACCAGAAATTTTGTGTAATGATGCAGAATTGTCCTGGTATGGAAAATGATAAATGTATTTGGTAATTGTTTTAAACAGTTACAAACACAGTTAAAAATGTAAGGTCATTGCTGTTATAGGTTGATTTAAAAACATGCATTGCTTGCGCACACTGTTAAAGTATGTTTTAAGAGTACCAAAGCTTTCAATGGCTCAGAAACTTCTTGCGTTAATTTAAGTTTTTTTAAACAAGTATGCAGACAATATACTACAATAATTGTTGTAATGTTTACAATCCAGGCCTCTTTTTAGAAGGATTTGCAAATGGATCGATATGGAGTCATTGGAGCGTAACAGTGCTTATATCTTTCCACCAATTTGCACTAACAGGCTGATTTTAAGCAAGGGGGCATTTTTCATCTTGTTTATTCTTTCTGTATACACTCGAACCTCCACTAATGGCCAGCTCTCCACAACGGCCACCTCTCTATTATGACCACTTTTTTGGTGGACAGTCCAAACATCGACTCTTGGTTAAACCTCTCTACAACGGCCACTTTCTTCTGCCCCAAGATGTCCGTTGTGGAGAGGTTCAACTGTATGCTAATCAATGCCATAATTTCACAAATTTAGATTTGTGCTGTCATCACTTCTCTTCTCTATTTAGGGGTAAAAAAGTTGCTGAATTTTCTGATCAAAAGAG